ACACCTCCTTGATGTGCAGGCCCATCGTGAGTGCACGGTCTATGTGGAATCCAAGACAGTTGCTTTACTGGATTTATTATTATATCTTTAAAATAACCTTATATGGTCAACTTTTCTCTTGCGGCTCAGTAAAATCGCCTCTGTTTTTTCCACAGATATTTCGAGTCTGTGCTCACGCATCCATCTGGCTATGATCTTTAGTGTATCACCTACAGTCTGCATTAGGTCGAGGTCGTTTATTTTTTTGTTTCTTTTAGTTTTTTTGTTATTATCACAGCAAGATCATCGGCGTAACAGATCAACTCTGTTCCACGAAAATAATGGGCGACCAAGAAATAGTCGAGGCTGCAATCATTGTTATGCACAGCGTAATTATTAAAAAGGAGAAAAATCGAAAACATCGTCGCTTGTGGCAAACCCAAACTTTTAGAAATCGATATAATTTACTGCAACAACTTAGTGTCTGAGGAGGGCTATGATCAGTTCAAAAACTTTACAAGACTGACCAGACCAGACTTTGAATATTTACAAAATTTAATAGCACCAAAATACGAACAAAAGATATCTACAAATTTTAGAATAGCAATTTCATTAAAATCGACATATTCAATATTAATTTTATTTACAAGATCTTGCCATGCGTTTTTTTTATTTTTTAATAATACAAAGAATGTTTAAAATCCCATAAAATAGGCATCTTTTCATATTCTTCAATTAATAATAACGAAGATTCATTGATCCACTCCATAATTTTAATAAAGAAAACAAAAAAAAATCACACACGCACGCACGAACGCAGACAAAACAAATTGCCGATGCCGGTACAAACTGAGCGTTCGCGCACACATAAAATCCCTTTGAGCGCGGACCAAAAACCGACACCAGACGGCTCACGTTCGCGGCTGCTCGCGCACAGACAGATTCAGAGTGAGCGTGCGCACCATTACTAGTGATGGGCGAGACTGGTCTTGGACTACGTTTAATCTGCAAGACCAAGACCAAAACTGACCAGTGCAAAACTCCCGCGTGACCAAGACCTATCATACAAGACTCTTGCAGTCTTGCATTTTTTTTTCACGTTTGCATGATGTTTGCACATTTTTAAGTGTGAACCATGTGTGAAGTAATCTAAATCCTAAAACTACTAAGTTTAATATTCAAAGAACCAAATTTAAAAAGGCTATAGTCATATCTAGCAATAATAAAATCTTAATCTAGGTATGGAAATTTCAACAATATGGCAACCATTCATATAACGCTCACTGCAGGTGTTCTCAGTGGACAACCTCATGCTTGACTGCACCCAACTTCTTCACGGGTAAATGCTAGGCTGTAGTATTTAGCTCAGTAGTTTTAGGATAGGTACCCGGTGGCGTAGAGGTACAGGCTCTCGTCTACCAACCTCAAGGTAGTGGGTTCAAATCCCACACCCGGCATTTCATCAGCCGACTACTAGACAAATAAAAATACTTTGGATACCTTGGTCGACTCAGCCTTGAATGAGTACTTGGGATTCATAATCCTGAGGTAATAATAGGCGGTTGAAGTTCCTTGTATACCGAAGGGCTCTAGTATGGCAAGCTGTACCTTGCTACTCCCAAGGCGTTAAACACTATATACGGGAGCTATTATTATTATTATAGTTTTAGGATTTAGATTATAGATGGAGAGCTGGCTACATAAAAATCTTATCATCGTTACATGGCTAATTTTTCTTGTGAGGTATCCTTTTGTGTAGCCATTACGAAATAATTATGTCTGCCAGCGCGACCCCGGGGCTTAAAGCAGGGGTGGCCAATCGAAAGGGTAAAATTTTGACACTAAAAATATTATAAGGTACACGAGTTATAATTGCCAAAATGCTTTTATTTATTATTAATAAACGTGGAAAATTGTTGGCAGACATTTTTCTCGTAGCTAAAATGCCGACAGACAACGCAAAAGAGGCTTGAAATTTTGACAAAAAAAATCGCATACATGCATGCCGATTTATGGAATGTCATATTTATTTACTTAAAAAGCCGTATGCAAAAGGGCAGACGAAAAAAATCGTGGCTCAATCAACGGTAGACAGTTATCAAAAGCACGATATTACTCTACAGGGTGAGTCTTGGATAAGTGTAAGTATGTTCAGGGCTAGTATCTGGACAAAAGAAATATATTTTCTCTTTACCGTTTTTCAAATGAGTCCAAAATAACCGTTCAAATTTGAAAATTTAAAAAGACATTTTTAGAAAGATTTATTTTTAAATAATTTTGTGAGTCACCTGTTTTTTTTTGTATTTGCATCCATTATTTTAGTATCGTAACCATAGAGTAAAGCCGTAAGCATGGTAGGTTAAAAAATTATACCGTGGGTAAATTTGCGGTGAACAGGCAGTTGTACAAAAGTTTTCTAAAATATAAAGGAAATTTTTTAAAAAATGCATCATTTTCAAGCGCTAGAGTAATATCGCGCTTTTGATAACTGTGTGCCGCTGATTTAGCCACGATCTTTTTGTTTGCCCTTTTGCATACAGCTTTTAAAGTGAATAAATATGACATTCCACAAATCGGCATGCATGTGAGCCATATTTTTTATTCAAAATTTCATGCCTCTTTCGCGTTGTCTGTCGGCATTTTAGCAACAAGAAAAATATCTGCTAACAATTTTTCACGTTCCTTAATAATAAATAAAAGCTATTTTCGCAATTATAACTCGTGTACCTTACAATATTTTTAGTGTCAAAATTTTACCCTTTCGATTGGCGGCCTCCGCTTTAAGCCCCGAGATCGCGCTGGCAGACATGACTATTTCACAATGGCTACACATATGGAGACTTCACAAAAAAAAATAGCCATGTAACGATGATAAGGTTTTTTTATGTAGTCAGCTCTTAGAATATTGGTTCACAGTTGATGATACTTCTGACCGAAACGTTGTGTAAGCAAAATAAATAAAGACAATAAAAGTCCGAAATTCTTTAAGTTTCAATAGCAAAATAAAGGAATGATTCACCACAATACATCAAAACACTTTACTTGTACAGGGTGGGTCAAATTCGACGCTTTTAAATGGAAACATCCTTTTCTATAGGAGATAGACGAAAACTAATATCGGTGTCTGGAGCTCAATTTTCACCAAAAACATTATGGTGAAAACCGCAAATCAATATCTGTTACCGTTTCGGAGTTACGGGGTGTTTTTCAAAAATGTGCATTTTTAACAAATCGCTGTAACTTTTTTGCTATGGAAAATTTTGTTTTTCTATGAAAACATTTCCAAAGCACCTTTTTACGTAGAATTTAATGGTTTAAGTATAATTTTTTTAAATTTAATAATTTAAGAGTTATCAACAGAAAAATTGATTTTTTTATTTGGGACACCCTCTATATTTTTAACTAACTAAAAAGAATTTAAAATTACCTTTACAAAAATATAGCATACTTGATATTTTGTTATAATCTCCTTCGAAATACAGAATTTTTAAAAGTTCGCCACTTTTAACTAGTAGGCTTTGTACCCCTTATTGATGATATGCCCTTAATGGAATTCGAAAACATATTTTTCCAGCAAGACGACGCACCGTCTCTGAACGCTGAAGTTATCAGCAAATTTTTGCAGCGAATTTCAAGAATAATTGAATAGCTAACCAAGATCCCAGCCGTTGGCCGTCGAGGCCGCCTGACTAAGTGCCCATGGATCTAATCCTATGGATATATTTGCGGACGAATAAGGTTCTTTATTCCTTCGTATAATCTAGACAAGAATTAGAAATACTTAGCAGTTATGACAGGGTATCTTACACCTCCACTGAGTTAATGAATTCCGCGAGAAATGTTCAAAAACTGTCCCGTCTGTCCACAACAGAAGACGGTCGATATGTCCAAACCAAACCAAACACCTGTAGCAAAACTTCATGTGTTGATTTGCTATTTATTTTTATTGTTATTAGATATAGTTTAAATGTGTTGATATTGGTTAAATATATTTTAAATTGTTATAAAATTCTGCATCTCTCATAGCAAATATTATTTTCGTTTTAATTGATGCTCACAGCTAGAATTTTTTTGCATTACAGCCGAAGCCGTTCAAAGCCTACTTATTTAAAGCGGGCGAATTTTTATATACTCTATTTCTCGAAGAGGAATCGAGCAAAATATCAAGTGTGTTATATTTTTTACAAGGAAAGGTAATTTTAAATTCTTTTCAATAAATTAAAAATGTAAATCTCTAACAGATATTGATTTGCGGTTTTCACCATAATGTTTTTGATGAAAATTGAGCTCCAGACACCGATATTTGTTTTCGTCTATCTCCTATAGAAAAGGATGTTTCCATTTAAAAGCGTCGAATTTGACCCACCCTGTACACCCAACGCGCGTTTCGCTGACAATGTTAGCTTCATCTACTCACTAAAATTTTAGTTTTTATCATCTGCTAACAATGCAATTAAATAATAATGCAACATTTTCAAATTCTTCCCGTATTTCAAAAAATAATCGGGCTAGTACAAATTTGTGTGTAGTATCTTTAGTTTCATAAAATAATAGCAACTTGATGTCATTGTACTTATAAACAAGAAACTCTGTAAAACACACGAAAATGGTACACCCTGTACAATGATTTTATTGGAACGCGGTATTATCTGTCAAGCCCGAGAATATGAAACTTTGACAGACGGTGTCCACGAATGCAAAAATAATCTATCTTAAAAAACACAATGTCCACTAACTAGACTATCACAAAGTCATATATTGTTTAAAAGTGTTTCGGAAGCCGACTAGAGTTTCTCTATATTCATAAGATACAAGATACACCTGATGCGGTTTCAAAACAATAACGATTATAACATATTTTTTTATACTTTTTACTGATTGTCAATTCCTCGATTGTGCTAAAACAGTTTCACTCCTCGTACTTTAACAGTCAAAAAATTAATTTATTTATGAATTTTCGTTTTTATTGTATTTAAATGAATACCCAAAAAGTTCATATATAAAACTAGAGCATACTATGTCGTCGCGCCTTTTGGTTTTTTTATCGTTTGACCGATTAGTGATTATAAATAAGTTTTTTTTTAAATAAAGAGAGACGCATTTTAGCCGTTTTGGCTATTACTCGAATTAAAAGTGATTTTTAACAAATTATCAGTATGGCTCCGCTAAACAGTGACAGTTTGGTGCATGATGATAATTTACTTAATTTGGAATCAGGAAGAAAGCTGGCTCATCCTGACCCTGGAGAAGAGATTGTTATTTCGGGTGAGTGGTAATTAGTAGTGATGTAACGAATATTCGCATTCGTAAAATATTATAATCGAATATACAGGGTGTCCCAGAAATAAGTGCAAGTATTTTAACTGGTAGTATTTCAACCCCAGAAACGGACCTATGATGTTTTTTTCGCGAAAAATTTTTTTTTGAAAATTCGGCATTTTTTGAAAAAATGTTTTAGTTTTTAGTCAAAAAACATAATTTCTTGATAATATGGCAACATAGGTAATAGATTAAATTTACAAGAAAGAAAATCCAAAAAAGATTCAGTGGTTCTCAAAATTTTAGCAAAAAATAATTTTTTTTAAATTTTGAAAGTAAAATAACTCCGTTATTTTGGACTTATTTGAAAAACGATAAAGAGAAAATATGTTTCTTTTATCAAGATCTACTACTCCTTAAAATACTTGCACTTATTTCTGGGACACCCTGTATATATAGAGGGTAGCGCACCTCATTCGCCTCGATTGTTTATAGGAAAACGGAAAGATGTAGAAACAATTTTTTATGGGTATATATGGCAATGTGGAAAATTTAAAATTATTTTGAAATGTTTAGTTATTAGGTAGTACATAGCTTTACCATATGGCTAATCTATTTTAAATATTTATTTTATCTGCTTTTATAGCAGTACTATATAGTACTGAACCAAAAAATATTATTTTCTTGGCTTGCTGGTGTATATCAGTCGTTTTGACTAATTAATTTTTCACTAAATTCAGTAACTATTATCTCTACCATTTAAACTTATTTCAACAAATTAAACTAGAATTCAAATTTTGTTCTTAATTTGCTTAACAGACACATTAAATTTTGATAAATATTACTTTTTGTCATGGTAACTATGATGTAACGTAATTGTATTAAAAATATGGGTAAAAATAGAAAAAATTGCAATAAATTGCAAACTATTAAAAAGAGGTATATGACATACTTAATAAAAGTTGACGAGTTTTGTAAAATCTATCAGAAAAAACATAATATATAGGGTGCACCATTTAAAAAAATTGAGATTTTTTAATTTTAATTACTTGAAATTCATAAATATATTTTGAACGCTCTGTAGCGTTTAACTAAAATATATTTACATTTATCTTTTTCTTCATCTCCATAAAACTCTCCTACCAAATTTTGGTACTCCAACTTCAGAAACAACAATTTAAACCCCTAACAATTTTTTACAACACTGAAATCTAACATTTCTTGAAACAAATTTAAATATTAGAAAAAGCTGTTAATTTTAAGTATATAACATTATATATAAAAAAGTTATGGAATTTTAGGCAGAATCTAAAAATAAAATAAAAAATAGTGTATGTTGCATTAAAAAAACATACTTATGTTATATCGGAACTTTCCTCTATCGTTGACTCACCCTGTACATTACTTTTCAAAATTAATGCTTGTGCTAAGTTGAAACTTGAAAGGTAGCAAAATAAACTTTACTGAAAATGTTCATTGTTTCCCTAAATGTATACATACATGAGTACCAAAAATTGCTAATCTATTTTAAATATTTATATTATCTGCCCAAAATAATGTAATCGAATATACTTATTAATATTTAAGGGATGTGTAAATAAAATTATAAAAAATAATTTCATTTAATCAAATCCTGCGTATCCACTCTGAAATGTCTCGTTTTTTAGATTCCTGTTGCAGTGAAAAAAAAACAAGTTTGTCCCAAGAGACCTTTTTTCTAATTCTATTTTATATCCAAAATCATATCGACACATTTTTTAATGTAATTCTAAAAATGCTAAAATTATTATGGCGTAAATAGAATAATTTAATATAAAATTGAATTATACTATGTTTAATCTATTAAATCTTTATTATAATTTAAGTAAAAAAATGGTAAAATATACTCAAATATTTTGTTCATTGTATTGTAATTTTCATAGAAATGTGTTAGACATGCAAGTAGACCTTTTATAGCCAGAGACGATTTTTTTTCATTTTTTTAAAAACCGGTCTACACAATTACATTTTTAGTTTCTACGGTTAAAAAATTCACAGTCCTTTACAAAGATGCAACCAGGGGGGCATTGAAAATGATGAATAAAAACGTAAAAATATGATTAGTGTTGATATGAGTGTATTACATACATATGTTTAAATAACGAACTTAAAAAAAACAACAGATTTAAAGGTTCACTGAAGAAGTAGTAATGTTAAAATTAAATAAAAACTTTATCAATAATAATTATGCGATCGCACCTATCCGTAAAACAAGCAAGCAAAAAAACCTCGAAAACAAACAAAATAACATACAAAAATCAGGTAAACATGATGACAGATCATGATCAATGACAGATAAAGAATTCTTACGGAAAGTTACACTTTACGATATAATTTTTTAACTGTTAAAGGCAAACCTCATTTAAACACAAAACTTTTTAATACGTACTACTGTATCTAAAAGACTTTTTTTAAATTACTAAATTCTTAGCCACGCTGTGCGTCACGTCACAGATTAACAGGCCCACGTTTGCACCACAAGGCGATGCTGCAGACCACTAGGTAGACCGGTCGTAGAAATTTATGTTACACAACTTGTAGTCAATCTATACAAATATTATCAGAAACTTTTTTCTTTTAAAATGTGTTCAGATTTTGTAAAAAGTATAAGTCAAAATCGCAAAACTATATACAGGGTGTTCCATTTAAAAAGATAAAACGTTGATATTTTTTATTTATTTGGGACACTCTGTACCTTTTGAAAATAATTTTAAATTGTAGTTTTAGTAGTCCTCCAACGATCCCATAACTCACAATTTCTAAAAATCCAATCATTTGGCTACAATACTCCGTGTCAAATGAGGTAAATAACCCTGTGTACCAGGAAATATATAAAAATTTTATGGATGTATAAAAACTCTTAAGAAACAAAATGACAGTTTTTAGATACGGTACAATCTTTTTAAACTGAAAAAGTAACTGCCAATTTTACGATAAAAATACTTGTATTTCTGAACTTAAGTAGAAGTAAGTACTGATATACAGGCAAGCCTGGATAGCAAAGAAACAGCACTTTGTGCCTTCTTGGACATTGCAGGAGCGTTTGACAATATACCTGACAAGGTGGTCAAGCGATCTCTGGAAACAACAGGGGTGAACGGTACGATAATTCGCTGGTTTTGGGAAATACTCTCAACACGAACAGCAGAGGCTGAGATAGGTACCAAAACTGTAGTTGTTAAAACAATGCAAGGAACTCCACAAGGTGGAGTAACCATCAATTCGAAGTTGGTCAAAGAATGCCTAGAGGAGTTCAACAAATTAGGCAAAGAAAATAAAGTCCTCCTACTCTGGGTGCCTGCTCATCAACGGATAGAAGGCAATGAAAATGCAAATTATCTAGCTAGAAAAAGAGCGAACACTAACCGGACCAGAGCCGTTCTGTTTTCCAAACGGGAACCAATTGAATGCGGAACTGAGTTCCTCAAAACTTACGACCGAGAAAAATCCTTGATTTAAGCAAAATCATTCTTCCGATTGGACCCTGTCTCCTCAAAGAACACCTCAGTAGGCTGAAGCTGAGAAACAACGGCGAATGCAGATTCTGTGGGGAAAATGGGGAAACATCAGAACATCTTATCACTGAGTGCGCCGAGACGACGACCATTCGTGCCATGACTTTCGTACGGCTAATGTCGAGGATGGAGAGCTGGCCTCTTTGGAGCCATCTCAGAGACTAGCTTTTGTTGTGCCCTCAGACTGTATGATGAGTTATAACTCGTTATAACTCAAGAGAGAGAAACACACAATAGATCTGTAAGGTCGCGGTTAGTGTTGCACAAGACAAGAATTCTTGTCTTGAAAATCAATTTCTTGGTGGTTGAAATTCAAGACAAGAAATTTTCAGTCTTGTCTTGCAGATTTCTGGAATGGCAAAGTCTTGTCTTGTCTTGCAAGACTCTTGAAATTTCTTGTCTTGAAAATTTTTACATTCTAACAAAAAGGTAATAAATCGTATACAAAATGTAATACCGAAAAATGAACAACAACGATGCTAATTTTAGTAAAAACAAATCTTAACGGACCGCAAACGAACTACGTCAACTCGCCCGTTTGACAAAACAGGAGCCATTACCAAATAAAAGCTGAATAAGAATAAGTAAGGTTAACTTCGATTCATGGGGTTTGGATTGGGTTTTGCGTTATTATTTCGTACCTAATCTTGTGCGTTTATTTTTTAGTTCTAGTTGTTAATTCTTTTATTATGTTCTATTTTGGTTACCAGTTTGTTACTTTTATTTTTTATGGTATTTATTTTATTTATTTATTATGGAAGATTGGTTGGAAAAGTTTGGACACGGGGTGTACGGAAAGGTCATGCTAGAGTGTACTATTTGCGCTATTTGATACTACTTTTTGTTCGCGGAGCAATTTCGTACATGAAAAGTAGTACCGAATAGCGCAAATAGCGTGCTCCACGAACCCACCATTAGTTTCAACTACCGTTAGTTTTTTTTTTATAATACCATTATACCAATATAATTTTGTGTATAAAACCAATTACCAATATACGGTTTGTTGCCTCGACTTTATTTTATTTCATTCTCAACTCTAAAACACTGGCTATGATAAAAAAAAATGAATACTGGTCAATATTAATGCCGGGTTTATACAACATTTGCATAAATCGTAATCATAGTCACAGTCTTAATCATCGTCATAATCACAACGCAATTTTACTGTGCGTTTATAAAACATTTTCATAATCATAATTTTTATATCAGTGTCGTTGGGTAACATAATTAAAGGCAATCGGTAGATATCAACAGGTTTATAAGAAGTGGATAGTTTAACTTTTATGATTATGACTATGATTGTGATTACAACTATGTAAATGTTGTCTAAACCCGGCATAACTTGCGCAAAGACCTAATTATCACTTAAAAAGATGTATCATTTCTAACTTTCAAGAAATCTTGAATTCAAGAAATCTTACAAGACTCTTGAAATGTCTTGCATACTAAAGTCTTGTCTTGTCTTGTCTTGTCTTGAAATTCAAGACAAGAAATTTTGAAAGTCTTGTCTTGAATTTCTTGCAAGAGTCTTGGTCTTGCAAGACTTTTTCAAGACTCTTGTGCACTCTTTTCTTGTGCAAACACTAGTCGCGGTGATCAACTCCTCTCCTAAACATTCTACATTCTACAAATACTGATATGATTTCCACAGTAATTAATCCACGTATACAGGGTGTCAAAAAAATAGTGTATCTAACTTCGATGGTTGATTCTAGAAATAAAAATAAGACAAAAAGTTCTCATGACCATATGCCCTAAAATGCTTCTCAAAGAAGTTATAGCCCGCGAAAACATAAATAAAAATAATATATTTTGTTTATTTTTTAGAACGTTGATAAACCGTTTTTCTTGATATTGTTTAAAAAAATAATTTGTTGTCTAAATTTTAGTTCATTAGGTTTTATTTTCATGGGTATATTGATAAATGAGGTCCAAATTATAAAAATAAGCATTTTCTACGAAAACTAAAAAATTAAGAAAAATAATAAAAATTTACACTATCGCCAATCGCTTTGGCACCAAATTTCAAGAAAGAGGTTTACCAATGTCAATAAAAGTAAACAAAATATATTATCTTGATTTACCCTTTCGAGGGCTTTAACTTCTTCGGGAAGCATTTCAGGGCATATATTCATAGGAACTTACACACATTTTAATGCCAAAGCAAATGGTGATAGTGTAAAATTCGGTAACGGCCATGAAAGAGTACTTTCCATTAGGGTAGAGAGTACTGGTGGTACTTATTTTATCCTCCTAGATACAGTAATTTCAACAAATGTCATAAAAAGCTAAGATTTTTCTACGTGGCAAAAAGTGCTCTTCGTTTAGTTCCATACGGTGAACAGTTTCCAAGATATTTACGTTTAAAGTTTGTTATTCAATAAAAAAGTGTATGCTGTAATATTCCTTCAGAAGTGATAGCCATTACAATAAATTAAATCGCAAACTATTTATAAAGTTATGAATAGAAAACAATCCTAGGAATGGTATTTTATTGTTAGTGTTGATCAATATTAATAGAGGAAAGGTTTAATAAATTTCATTTTTTTTTAAATTTTGATCATACTGATTAGGTCTATTTCTACTTTTATACTAAATCGGAATATATTAAAATACATTGTGTCACTTAGAATAGTATTGTTTAGAAAGCTAGACATTAAAAACAGTTCAATTTTGTTTTAACCCAGACCAGTCTCTGACTTTTATGCTCCTATTGTTATTAATTTACATTACAATAGTCTAGTACCGTATGATCGGAAAAAACTGCGTCTAGTTGACTTGGAAATAACGATCGATGACATTTCCCATATAATTTTATATACAAATTGACTGCGATCTTCAGTTACAAGCCATCTTTGACACATATTAGTACAGCCTTTGAGATCGTACATGTTCTTTACTGGTTCGCTATGAACATTTTCTGTTTTATGTTTTGTGTCAATCACTGATCATATCAAAGGGCTAAAATAGGCCTTGCTCTTTGTAGTTCCCTGCTACATTGTGTTACATTAGATTCATTGCCACAGCATCAGAAAACTGTCTAAAATAGTTAACCGAATTAATAATCTATGGTTTTGTTTACGACATATCTATGACTTGGTGTAATCAACTACATTTGACAAGTTTATAACCGGTTAAGATGCTTGTGGGAACAAACCCAGAGTCTACACTAAAGGTTTCTGTAAGTATATCTCATGATAGCAGCCAATATATTCTGATTTTGTCTTGAAGGACAACCAATATATTCATTACAGTAATTCAAAGAGGGGTTATTATTGATGTTTAATAGTAAAGTGTTTTGGTTTATTGTGGTACGAATATAATTGTTGAAGTGAAACTTCTTTACGCGCAATGGAAGTAAAAATTGAAGGCCGTGATACGGCCTTGATACACGAGACGCGAGAGGAATAGTGATAACGATCTTAGAGCGTGTTAATTCGGGCTCTATGTGAGCTAGGTTGGTTGGAGCTAAGTTTGGTATGTCGATAGATTGAACCAAGGCCAACTTAACCATGTACAGTCTGATAAACTTATCTGAAAAAACGAGGCACCGGTAAGGGGATTACAATTTCATTGATAAAATATCTAAGAGCGTGCTGTGTTTTATAAAAATATATCAGAATTTTTATATTATAAATTTGCCAAATATAGTAATATTTGTTAAAACGCGTGTACTAATTACAATAGGCACAAATCAATTTAAAGGCATAAAACACAATACATTAACACCGCCACTGGATTTTTCAATAGTAGTGAGTGTTTCTACTAGTCATAAGGAGGGGAATAAAGTTGGGGGTAATAGCGGCAAGACGTGCGAGAATCTCGACCAATCAGATTGGTTGAATCCGGGATCCTATGATGACTTTTGTCAGCCGACTTGCCCTAAGCGAACGTTATCTTTAGGAAATACTTTACCTTTTATAATAGGCAGAATGAAGTGAATCGGTTTAATTACATAAATATACATTTCACTTATTTCTTATGAACTACGTCATGAATTAGCATAATATATATAATTATGTATGTATGCTGAAATGAACTAAAATATATTCAATTTATAGGTAATATCGAGCAATTTCACCTTTCTATTATTAAACGTGACAACATCGATTTTCTTGCCCGAATTAATTTTGGCGTTTTAGATTCATTTGTCAGATAATACGACACGTGTCACTGTGACAGGTTTGACGAAGAAATGTCAAAAGTGGATGTGGTCAGATCGCGACCAAATTTGATGGATAGGCTATGTGAGCGACGGTGCACACGGTCCCACCCTGCAAAGTTGGATAAGACCTTTCGTTTACATATTCATCAGGATGGGATTAAGGATTTAATATTGAAGAAAAATGTGTATCGATTTCGGCATAATTGGGGACGGGCTACAGGATGACGCCCTCGACGTTTCCAACCGATCGATGCATCTTCTTCTTCTTCGGGTTCCATCTCCTAATGGAGGTTGGAAATCATCATGGCAATTCTAACTTTGTTAACGGCTGCTCTGAATAACTGGTTTGAAGTCATTCCAAACCATTCTCTCAAATTCTTGAGCCATGATGTTCTTCTTCTTCCTTGGCTCCTTCTGCCCTTTATCTTTCCTTCTATTATGTTCTGCAGCAGGGCATATTTAGGTCCTCTCATTATGTGTCTAAAGTACTCAAGTTTTCTCTTTTTAAGGGTGTTAATCACCTCTTCGTCCTTCTGAATTCTGCGTCGCAGTTCTACATTTGTAACCTTGTCAGTCCATGCAATCCTCAGCATACGCCGATAACACCATCTTTCAAATGCCCCAAGCTTCTCCATTTCGGCCTTTTTAAGTGTCCAAGCCTCTGAACCATAGAGTAGAGTTGCAAATATGTAACCCCTTAGCATTCTTAATCTAAGCTTTAAGTTGATGTCTCACTTGGATCTCTCTGATTGATCCAAGTTTTCGGTCAACCAACTGCCTAGATATTTATATTTTTGTACTCTCTCCATAGGTGTATATCATCTACTAGAACATTGGCTTGGACATCTTCTCTCTTAGTGATTATCATAAATTTAGTTTTCTTAGGGTTCATTTTCAGGCCATAGACTCTACACGTGTTCTTTAGTCTTTGTAGAAATGTTTGCAGACCCTCCACGTTGCCTGCAGCCCCTAAATGGACGAAATCATCAGGATTTTTCTGAATTATGGGTCGTTCGGAACCAAACTCGGCACGTGGATAGAGGTACCCGAATGAAGTCCTCAGACGGACAGACAGATAGACGGAAGTAAGAAGAAGTTTCACTTCAAATATGCGCACAGAGTGCACACACATTTTTTTTTATTTTGCTGTTGTAACACCAAAGGTTCTAACCCCCAACTCTAATCCAGCTAATCCCAAATATTACATTTTTTTTTAGATTTAATTTTCAAAAGTATAATAACTTGGCTATTTTACACTTTTATGATATAAAACGGTATCCATTTAATTGGAATTGTTACCAAAACTAATCTTCATCTGTTATTTATTTTAGATGTTAATGATAAATAATATATTGTTATAGGCATCGCTGGACAATACCCCGATTCCAGAAATGTCCACGACTTCAGAGACAATTTGTTCAACAAAGTCGATATGGTATCGGACGACAACCGGAGATGGGAGCCCGGTCATCCGGAAATACCTCACAGAACAGGGAAATTGTTCGATATCGAGAAATTTGACGCAAGTTTTTTCGGTGAGTAATAACAAAATTTTTTTCGACTATATGGCAAATACTTCAAACAATTTATAAAATATACAGGGTTGTCCGAATTGCATTCGGGGCAGTAACTTGGCCAGCATATTCTCGATATAAAAATAAGTAAAAAAGTTCTTATAAATGTATGTCCTAAAATGCTTCATTTCGGAGACACAGGGTGTAGAAGTTTCATTTTTGATTTTTTGCAAATAGTTTCTGAACTAAAGTCGATATATTTGAATGGCATTTGATGTCTGGGTGATTTTTGACATTGTACATTTGGGGGGATTTCGATGTCATTATGGTTCCTATTTAGTCTTCTACTAGTCCCATTACTCCTATTATGTAGGGGTGCTACTCACATGTATTTTAACTGTTTTGAAGAGTAATAACTTTTCTTCTGTACCTGTATTGCACTACAGAGTGAAAAAGTATATGAGTGAAAAGAAAAAGTGAGTGAAAAAATACATTTCCGCCGCTATTTAAAAAGGTCCCTTATAAAAATCGCGACGACTAAAGATTCTCAAGATATTTGAAATTGAAATAATCAATGCATATCATCGTTGACAAAAATTAAACCTCTTAGACATTCGAATGAATACTAAATTTGAAAATATTTTGTGTCAGGTTCAACAGAAACTGTTTTATCATAGTTTTTTCTAGGAAATCTATGATAAATTTACAAAATTAAAAAGTTCCTATATTTATCATTTTAGTCAAATAACTATCTCTAGTCATAGAAATAAGTAGATAGTCAGATAAAAATAAGTAGAAAAGTTCGTATAAATGTATGTCCCAAAATGCTTCGTTTCGGAGATACAGGGTGTAGAAGTTTCATTTTTATTTCGATTTTTTCTAAAAAATTTCTGAAGTAACGTCAATATTTGGATCAAAATTGTTGTCTATGAGTTTTTTTGACATGAGAAATTTGATTTTGATGTTAATATGACTCCTACTAGTAGAGGGCGCCACCTATATGTGTTTTAACTGGTTTAAAGCGTTAAGTAATGTCACCGAGAACGTCACTATTTGGATGAAAATTGGTATCTCTTTTTTGGTTTTTTCACATGAGAAATTTGATTTTGCTGTCAATATGATTCCTACTTGTAGAGGGTGCCACCTACATATTTTTTAACTGGTTTGAAAAGTAATAACTTTTCATCCGTACCTTTATAAACTTCTTCTTCTTGCGGTGCCGTGCCTGTCTTCAGGCGTTGGCGATCTCCATGACTATTTTATTGAAGAGTTCTCTATCTTCTGCTGCATGAAAGAGCCTCTCCAACCCCAGACCGGTCCAGTTCCATATATTTCTCAGCCATGACAGTTTCTTTCGACCTACCCATCTTCTACCTTCGACTTTTCCTTGAATGATCAAACGAGTAATATAATATTTGGTGCCACGCATTATGTGTCCAAAGTAGCTAACCTTTCTGGCCTTGATGGTGGTTAAGAATTCTCGATCTTTTTTTAGCTGCCCAAGAACTTCTTCTTTGCTTGTATGTTCGGTTCAAAGAATCTTAAGGATTCCCCGGTAGCACCATATTTCAATGGCTTCTATTTTATTTATATTCTCGACTTTTAGCGTCCATGTCGCACATCCGTAAAGAAGAGTAGACCATATGTAACAATGTAGTGTTCATAATCGGGTTTGCAATGACAGGTTTCTATTAGTGAGCGTGGTATTCCATTTTTTTAATGTTCTACGTGCTATTTTAATTCTTGCATTTACATCTTCGTCACATGTATTTTCACTATTTAACCAGCTTCCTAAATATCTATAATGTGGTACTTGTTCAATATTGTGTCTACTGAGTAACTGAGTAAAAAAATATACATTTACGATGTTTTTACGTAAAAAAGTCTCTTGGTAAACATCGCTATGAGTAATGGCTCTCGAGATATTTGGAATCGAAATTATCAATCTGTCTTCATTGACATAAATTAATCATAAATGTCAACTAAATATTTATTAGACTCTTCTTATAAAGATTACACTAAAATCGTAAATTTGAAACGTTTTGTCCAAAAAGTTCAAAAGGAACTGTTCTATCATCATTTATCATTTCAGTCAAATATCTATCTACTCAACAATGTTTATTTTATGTCAATAATGACATGTATTGACTATTTCCATTCTAAATATCTTGAGAACGGTTGCTTGTAGCGATCTTTACCAAGAGACATTTTTTACGTAAAAAGTCACGGAAATGTACATTTGTTTCACTCGGTAGTTTTATGCAGGTACGGACGTACGGAGGTGGCGCCCTCTACTAGTAGTTGTCATATTGACATCAAAATCAAATTTCTCATGTCAAAAAACTCCCAGACCCCAATTTTCATCCAAATATTGACGTTACCTCAGAAAATAGTTGGAAAAAATCGAAATAAAAATGAAACTTCTACACCCTGTATCTCCGAAACTACTATTCAAAACAACTACTCTTCAAAACAGTTAAAACCAAGTTAAAACACATGTGGATGGCGCCCCTACAAATAGGGGTCATATTGGCATCAAAATCAAATTTCTCATGGGAAAAACTCCCAAACACCAGTTTTATCCAAATATTAACATTACTTCAGCAATTATTTGGAAAAAATCGAAATAAAAATGAAACTTCTACACCCGTATCTAGGAAAATAAGCATTTTAGGACATACATTTTACGAACTTTTTTACTCATTTTTATCTACAGAATATGCTGCCGAAGTTTCCGGAATACAGTTCGGACCACCCTGTATAATACCTCCCAACATTAGATTCTTGAAGATGTTAGTCAGAGTGAATGAGCAGTAAATGTCCAGTGTATGAATAACAATGCTTGAACAATTTTAAGTTGTCTAAAAATGCATTTTTATTTAGGTGTCCACTACCGCCAAGCCAATTCGCTGGATCCATTGTCTAGAATCCTTCTAGAAACAGTCATGCAATCCATGTTCGACGCTGGTCTTCATCCGTCAGACCTGGAGGGCACCAATACTGGGGTGTTCGTGGGTGTATGTTTCAGCGAATCAGAAAAAACTTGGTTCTGTGATAAGCGAACTTCGCAAAATTTTGCATTGACTGGGTAAACAAAAACAGATTCAGAACATATTTAATAAGAAAAAGATCATAGCTCAACTAAAAAGAAATCAGAGAAAATTTGTATTTTAGATATTCTGTTGCTGTTACTATAACGATAATCTCTGGAACTTGAAAATAATTCATAGCAATATTCCTTTGCCAATTTACCTATTTGTTCCCCTTAAACATCTATCAATAGTAATTCCTGAGTTAGAGCTGACTCGACATTCTCCTATTATTGGACCACAATAATAGGACAATTGGACCACATACCGTGTGGTGCATCGGAACGCGGGACATAGGAAATCCCATGTAAATTTCGAAAAGATCAAATGTTATCTCCCCCAGATGAGTTTATGCAAGGACCAGATGATTTTATGCAAAAATTGTATCAGACTTTTTGAAGAGGCGTTAAACTTGTACTGTCTTCTAGAATTTTGTTTTATTTGGAATAGGTATCTAAAAAATATTTTCAAAAATTTTCCTTCAAATTACTAAAAAAATATAATACAGCCCAGAGCAAACTACAATTAAAATACCAGCAAAAATATGATTTTGTCATTGTCAAATTCGATGTCACATTTTTTGGTTGACAATAATTTACTTGGTTTGAAAAGAGTGGTTAATTTTTTTCTGAATTGGAATGATCATCTGCAAAAGAATTAGTTGAACTGAGAATAGTATGCGCGGTGTATGACTTGTTTGCTGTTCATTACCCGATCACTCGCAGGCCTCGATCATACCACATACATCCACAATAATTTAACAAACAAAAGAAATATTTGAAACTAAAGTAACTTTATTAATCTATGCTAATTAATAAAATGTGTACATAATCCCTCATTCACAGCCAAAATTTCACAGCCAATCGTAACTTTTTCAGAAGTTGGGAAATTCATAATTATTTTATAAGTACAAAATTACTCTATTTGGTGCCTTCGATTTTTTGTAAATAAAATGTGACATCGAATTTGACGATGAGACAATCACATTTTGGCTGGTATTTTAATTGTAAAATAATTGTATTTAATTTAATTGTATAGTAATTCTGCTTCTCTGGGCCGTATTATAAATTTTACTAATTTGAAGATAGATTTTTGCAAATAACTTTTAAACGACTATTCGAAATGAAACTAAGTTCTAAACGAAAATACAACTTTAACGCCTCTTCAAAAAAATATAATACAACTTTGCATAAAATTATCTGGGGAGATAATATTTGGTCTTTTCAAAATTTACATATGATTTCATATGTCTGTATTTCCATGCACCACACGGTACAATACATAATGCATTTTAGGTGTGACCGTTCAATGGTATCCAACCGTATCAGCTACTTCCTTAAACTAAAAGGACCATCGATGACCTGCGACACGGCCTGCAGCAGCTCGTTATACGCCTTGGAACACGCCTACCGAGCCATACGAAGCGGTCAGTGCGACCAGGCCATAGTTGGAGGCGCCAATCTATGCCTCAACCCCATCGTCTCACTGCAATTTGCTCGATTGGGTGTCCTCAGCACCGACGGGTCCTGCAAAGCTTTCGATAACGCCGGAAACGGATACGCCAGGTCAGAGACTATCAGCGCCCTCATCCTGCAGAAGTCGAAAGACGCGAAACGTATCTACGCCCATGTGTTGCACGCCAAAACCAACTGTGATGGTTTCAAGGATTCTGGAATCACGTTTCCGAGTAGGGATATGCAAATAAAATTGTTTAGGGAGTTTTACGAAGAGTATGATGAAGTTAAGCCGGAAGATCTCAGTTTTCTGGAGGCTCACGGTACGGGAACAAAGATTGGGGATCCTGAGGAACTGCAAGCGATCGAAACTATTTTCGTTAAGAACAGAAAGACGCCCTTAATGATTGGATCTGTTAAATCTAACGTAGGACATACGGAGCCCTCTTCTGGAATGTGTTCTATTACAAAGGTATAATAACATAACAAATTAATGATTAATGTTTCTTTCGAGGTGGTATAAAATATCACATTATCATCATCATCATCATTTTCAGCTTATTCAACCATTTCCAATTATGGTGTAGCACATACTCTCTTTGTAGTCTCTCTCAGGTTCGGTCTTCTTCTAGGTCTCTTAATTCCTCGTGGGTACCATGTAGTAATTTTTGTGGTCCCTCTGTTGTCCGTTCTTCTTGCCAGTTGTCCTGCCCATTGCCATTTGAGTCATTTGATTCTGTGGATGACATCTATTACCTGGGTCTTTTGTCGTATCCACGGTCTCTCTTGGTTATTCCCAAGATATTTCGTTCTATTGAGCGGTGTACGACGTGTAGCTTATAATGTCCGTTTTAAGTGTCCAGTTTCGCATTCATAGATCATGACTGGTAGTACACATTGGTCGAATAAGTAAAAGAGCACGGCAGAGGAAACCCTGATCACTATTCCAGAGAATCTAACTATGTCCTGAACTTTAATAAAAGATAAATAATAATAATATAAATATGTCCTAATAATAATATGAAACTGTCCTCATATCAAGGCTTGTAGATAATACCTTCAAAACATGCCACATTTATTACATTCAAAACGGAAGAAGTTTTTTGCTAATTTAACAGGTCCCCACCCGTAGGTACTAATACCCTTGTTGCGGAACTAGAAGCTAAAGTTCAAGGTTTGGTTTAGTAATTATTTATTGTTTTTGTTTGCCCTTTTGCGTGCTATATTCAAATGTTAGTACCCTCAACAAGGCCCTTATTCTCACACTGAACCACAACATCGGCACGAATGGACAGCAAACGATTGTATTTAGATTACTTCTAAACTGAAATTATTCACAACATAATCGATTCCACTAAATACATACACATCTTATATATTATCTTTGTCAGATCAAATAAATAAAGAAAAGCTTTAAAACAGAATCACAACAGGAAAATGAAATATATTCTTTAGTTAACACTAGTTAATTAATGAGAAAACATTTACTTTACCTAACATTCTTTGTCACAAAACTTACGAACCAAAAATAATATATGTGCGTCTCGAATGGTAGTCTAAAAGCTATTATATAACAACTACCATCTCTGGTAGTCGCCTGACTTCACTCCCCCCAGTTTGCGAATAATATTCCAAAGAGCAACAGTCCTATTCATATATACAGAGTGTCTTAAAACTGAATGTTTTGAATTTAAAGAAATATGTCTATTTTTAAATAGGCGGTTCATCTCACTATAATTTTCATACCAAATTGTTACCTGTCGACATTGACGACGTTTCTTAGGAAGTCGATATCGACATCATAGTTGACACGTCAACGATTTAGTATCCCACGTGTCATTGTCGACGTTGCCCAACTCTGATCCTAAGCTAAAATAAATACAAAAGAGTTATACTTTATTCCTCATATCTTCTTGAAACTTCGACGTTTTATCGGCTTAAAGCACCTATTGTCATTGTTTTAAATTTGCATTCATTGCTTCTTTAAATGTAACTCTATCCACTGAATCTAGCGTTTATTTGATCATACATGGTTTACTATTGTTCGCTTTTTCACCTTTCCATTTATTGTGTTGGTATAATATTTTTTTATTTCTATTTTATATTCTAAAATTTCTTTAAATGCGATTCAGTATGTGTTCTCTATGATTTGGTATTGATACTAGAAGAATTTCGGGCTTTCATTTCCTTTGCTCCTGCACTCTACCGAGGCATTCGTCCGTGGCGGATAATTCAAGATAATCTTTTTGGACCGTAGTAAAAAATCGAATAAATATGGATAAATAAAAGCAATCTTATACTTATTACCATTATACTCTTATTCATATTCCTATACTTACTTGCAAACTCACTTTGCAGGTCATAATTGGTTTAGAGACTGGTATCATTCCACCAAACATTCGTTACAATGTACCCAGAGAGGGCGTCAAATCATTAGCTGATGGTACAATTAAAGTAGTCTCTGAGAAAACTCCATTTAAAGACGATAACGGATTAGTAGGTAAAAATAAAACTTGAATAAAGAGTGGAATGAAACACAATCAATAAGCATTTGAGTAAAGACAAATTCAAATTTTATTGCACATAATTTCTGTTTTTTTCCTTTGTTTTCAATAAAAATAATTGGTTACTGAATGAATGAATTAATGAAAATCCAAATTCAATTTTAGACACAACTACAAATTTTAGATCTAGAAATATTTTTTTGAATATGTATTTACCCCTAGGTATAAACAGTTTCGGCTTTGGTGGAGGCAATTGTCACGTTCTTCTTAAACATAATGCCAAAAAGAAACTAAATCAAGGAAAGCCGCAAGACAGTATTCCCAGGCTGGTATGCGTTAGCGGTAGAACGCCGGAGGCAGTCAATGTACTTTTAAGCGATGTGATTTCAAACAAGCTAGATGTAGAACACATAAGATTGATCCAGGATATATTCAGGTAAAAGGTCTATTGTTATACAGGGTGATCCAAACTGTATTCCGGAAACTTCGGCATCGTATTCTGTTGATAAAAACAAGTAAAAAAGTTCGTATAAATGTATGTCCCAAAATGCTTAGTTTCGGAGATACAGGGTGTAGAAATTTAATTTTTATTTTGATTTTTTCCAAATACTTTCTAAAGTAACGTCAATATTTGGATGAAAATTGGTGTCTGGGAATTTTTTGACATGAGAAAATTGATTTTAATGTCAATATGACGATTTGTAGGGGGCGCCACCTACATGTGTTTTAATAGTTTTGAAGAGTAATGACTTATCGTCTGTACCTGTATAAAATGACTGAGTGAAAAAATATACATTTCCGTGATTTCTTACGTGAAAAATGTCTTGATAAAAAATGCGAGCAACCGTTCTCAAGATATTTAGAATGGAAATAGTCATTACATGACATTATTGACTAAAAATAAACATGTTGAATAGATAGTTATTTGAGTGAAATGATAAATTTGGGAACTTTTTATTTTTTAAATTAATTATAAATGTTTTTTCGAAAAAAATGATGATAAAATAGTTTCTGTTGGACTTTTGGCACAAAAACATTTCAAATCTTTGAATAAGAAGACTAAGGAAGGGGCATAATGCTATCCATGTATTCATGCATGGTGGGCGGAAAAAGGACTCTAAGGTAGGGATCCTTGACAGTTCTATTTGATGATTCATTGGACACATTTGAATTTGATTTGACATTTTATGGATTTATCAGTCTTTACGGAGCTTCTTGTATGTTATTTATTATTTATTCTACTACTGATAGTTGTATAAAGGTAATAAATCTAGATGGAAATTGTGGCAGAACTTAAATTAACAGTGACACTATTGCGATTTATCGAAAAAGACTCTAAAATAGTTGGTTGTGTAGCGTGCGGTAGATCTCGGCAAAAAGCGATTGAAATAATGGAACAACTTTTCGCTAGTAAGTGACTATAGTCTGTCCAACGACAAGATCCTTGACAGTGATAGATGTGTCTGTCATTTTATTTTCAAATTAGTTTATTTTATTTTACAAAGAAATAAATTAGTACAATTGGAACGCATAGCAGAAAATTAATATATTTAAAAATTGAGTGACAAGTGATTACTTCAAAATATTGTGAATAAAACTGTATAAAATTGAGAAAATCTATAATCGAGTTATTTTATTAAAAACAATAATTACAGTATGTGTTAAAACAAAACCAGCAAGGGCGTATTTAAAAAAAACACATACCAAAAAAGATTTCCGGCTTTCAAACCGTGTTTCAAGCTCAAGCAACATCCTGCATTTATTGTTACATTTATCAATATAGCAGAAAGTAGTCTCGACTGACTAGTGAGAAAGAAAATCTAGGATCTAGTGGGGTTGCAGTCGGAAGGGTTTGATAAAGAATTACACTTTATTAATTGTTAAGCTTTCGGAATTTATTTATTCCTTCCTCAGGACATTAACGTGGTACAGAAAAGACCTGAGGAAGAAATAAATAAATTCCGAAAACTTGACAATTAACAAAGTGTATTAATTCTTTGTCAAACTCTTCCGACTGCAACCCCACTAGATCCTAGATTTTCTTTTTATCAATATAGGTAATTATTCAATATGATTATTATTTACCTATCGTGTGCTGCTATTTTACAGACACTCCAGTTTTTGCTATCATATACAAGATAGTATACAAACTTTATTTGTGGATAATCTCTCTGGCCATAATCTCTGGCAAACTGTCTCTGGCGGTCTCTATAGGCACCGAATATTAACTGTAAACTATGGTCTGGGTCAGCACTTAATTTTCCAGCGAGTTTTCCTCCACTTAATTTTAAAAAACACGAAACACACGTAATAACACAGACCAAAATGCAAAATGCAAAATATTTATCATTTCTATTTGACACAAAATTATAACCTATAAATTGGCAAAACTTTGATAACTCTCAAAAATCTTAAGACGAGTTCACACGCATCGGCGTTCGTTTGTCTTCCTTCACCTTTCCGTCAAACCAATAATATTGAAATACAATAAAACTGTTTAAAAAACAACAAGAGATGACGCATGACGGATTGAAACCCATCCATAGGTAACTTAAAAAATATTAGAAACTTTGTTTAGTTAAATAAATGGATTGGTATGGACGTCATCTGCATTTTTTCTGTCATCGCCTGTCGAAATCTTACCTGAGAAAAAAAACAGAGTATATATAATATACATACGTGTAGTAAACCGATCATTTATGAAATTCACTTAAATTAACTAATTATATATTTTTTCTTGCATTTTTGCTTTTATTTACTACTTGTCAAAGATTAGATGCCAAAGAATTTAGATACGTCAATTTGACTTACCTGCTTCAGTAGCGTATCGGATGTTTCTGTTAATAAATACTTATTAAAACTTATCTATTTTTAGTATAATAATATGTTTTTATAACAATTTTAATAACTACCAACATTTATTCACAACGTAAAATAAAAAAAAAATATTGAATCTACCCCACGTCTACCCTACATCATAGTTTTACATTTTTTAAATAAAATTAGAACGGCACTGATAAACCGGAATTTAAGTCGGCCATATTTGAGTCCTATCGCGTTGGACCTAAGATTTTTGATATGCTCCTTCCTTAATCTTCTTATTCGAAGTTTCAAATTTATGATTTCAGCCCAATAACTATTTAGTCAAGGTGTTTAATTTATGTCAATGATGACAGGTATTGATAATTTCGACTCCAAATATCTCGAGAACCCTTACCCGTAGGGATTTTTACAAAGAGACTTTTTTTACGTAAAAAACGTCGTAAATATATATTTTAACTCACTAGTTTTATACAGGTACGGACGAAGTTATTACTCTTCAAACCAGTTTAAAAATATGTAAGTGACGCCCTCAACGAGTAGGAGTACTATTGACATCAAAATCAAATTTCTCATGTCAAAAAACTCCCAGACATCAATTTTTATCCAAATATTGACGTTACTTCATAAATTATTTGCAAAAATCGAAATAAAAATGAAACTGTATACACCCTGTATCTCCGAAACTAAGCGTTTTAGAACATACATTTATATAAACTTTTTTACTTATTTTTATCTGCAGAATATGCTGCCGAAGATTCCTAAATACAGTTCCAACCACCCTGTATAAAAATGCGTACTTATGTAAGAAGTTATGCCACTTTATTTATTAAAAATGAATGAAATCATTAAAATACAAAATTGCATTTGCCAACTTGACTAAAATTATTATATCTTACTCACTCATATATTATTTCTTGTATAATTTCAGGAAAAACATCGAACCTCACAACTACAGGGGCTACGTTTTGGCATCAAAATCCCGCGAAATCATTCGATCCTGTTCTTACTTCGATTCTCGGGCACCTTCTCTTTTCATATGCTTCGGCGACATCAGCGAAGCTACCAGAAAACGAGCAAGAGAATTTTTAGAAGTGCCAGTTTTTGCTGCAACAGTTCAAAAGTAACTTAGTTACATGCCTTTGAAGATTTAAATATTAATTTATTTATGTTTTAAGAATACACGAAGTCCTAACATCAAAACGCATCAGTATAATGGACTTATTACTGAAAAACGACAACCAATCAGTTCTGGACATATGTTTAGCCAATGTGACTCTACAGTTAGCTCTGGCTAACATTCTAAGAGCCATTGAAATAAGACCTACAAGAGTGTTCGGAGTTGATAGAGGATTTTCTTTGGGAACTCTTGTTTGTGGATATTTTGATGGAGCTTTAACTCTGAGTGAAGTGGTCGAATTAGCTTTTGCCATTGGTTCTGCTGCCCACGCTGCTAATAAGAATGGTCATACCGATATTTACAGTTTACTAAAAACAAATGAAAAAATTGGTACTGTTTTAATTAAAATTAACTAAACACAAATTAATGTTTTTCTTATAATAATTTCAGTAAAGAATTTACAAGAGACTTTGGCCAAGATTGTTCCCAAACCACGAAAATTAAGTAAGAACGTCATTGTAGACACTGAATCTACAGAATTAAGTGCTATTTACGTATCGAAGAGTATCGGAAGCCTTAGTGTGGTAGAAAATGTAAGAAAGCTTTTCAAAAAGAGTTTCGTCTTGCTTGAAATTGGCAACGGTAAGGTTGGTGAGCTTTTAAAAAGTAGCAAGAAGAAAGTCTCACTTGTCAATACAGAAGGAGGGTTGCAAGAATTCCTATTATCGATTGGAAGGTAATAATAAGAAAACCTTTTTGGAAATAGTCGTGATCTAATCTCATTTATTAAGCTTTAATTAAATATCTCTTGAAAATGAGTATTTTGCCACTGCAAGAGAAATTTAAATAATATTTTATAGTAGCCTCTCAGTTTTTTTACATGTATAACAAATTTGCCTAACCGACAAAAACAATTATTAAAAGCCATATTAAGTAGTAAAGTAATTAAAAATAAGCTTTAAATTATTCTTTAAGTAATTCAAATAGTGATGTGAATACCGGTTTCACGCGAGTCGCGTTACAATAGCGACCGTTCCAGAGAAATACCGCGATCTGTAACCGAGGTTCCAGCTTCCAAAGTGTCACCTATGCGGTATTTCTGGCCATTGTACCTACCTACTTCCATCCCTGCCGTTATCTCTGTGTCCGTGCAAATTCATAAACAATATCAATTCATAAACAAGATGCTATCAGAAGCAGAGACTGACCTCTGACAAGGTGGTCAGATGAGTTAAGGAGATTTAGAGCAAACTAGATTCAATAGGCACAGGACCGTGAAGAGTGGAAAGGTTTAAGGAAGGCCTACGTCAGGCTGGTTGATCATGATGATGAATGTACCTAACATGTATTTATTATTGCAATCAAAAATGCCTAGTAGCTAGACCTACCGAAAATCGCGCTTTCGAAAGTAACGTATCGACTGTAACGGGAGCATCAACGTCAATAGCGACCGACTAAAGCGCGACAGACGAAAACACGACCCTAGTAGCGCTCCAGCAGTCGCGCGACATCTGGAGCGAAACACGTCGCGGTCTAGGTTGTTACCAGTTACTATTGTTCGCGACCTTAGGAGCGCGACGGCTGAACCGAAACACGACGCAGTCTAGATCGTTACTAGTTACTACCGTTCGCGACCGACGAAATCGCGATCCTAGGAACGCGACGGCTAGAGCGGAACACGTCGCTATGCGGTTACTGCGGTTCGCGCCAACTTCAAGAGCAATTATAAATAATATATTTGCAACCTATAAATAATTTATAATTTGGTTGTTATTATGATCGTCGTTCTGAGGCTCGGAGTATTTTTTTATTCCTTGAATTTTTTTGTTTCCGACGACGGAAAAAGATAAACTTTCCAAAACGTTAAGCATTTTTTTGTCCGTTAGGCAAATTTGTTCATTTGTAAGCCACTGCTGACAATTAGTCTCCGTTGGATTAACACAGCAGTGTTTACAAAAATTAACTATTTTATTTTGTAGATTTTCTTGCAGTGATGAAATACCCATATAGGATTTTTTTGGAGACATATTATTTATTTTTAGATTGTATGAATTGGGATTCAATCCCCAACTTCAGCATCTTTATCCGAAAGTTCAGTTCCCAGTTAGCAGAGGCACGCCAATGATCTCACCAGCTATTAAATTCAAACACGAAAAAGACTGGCACGTTAGTATATACAGTTGCACCGATAACGCAGAGACTGAGGAAAGATCGTTCAAAGCATGCTTGAAGCATCCTGATTATGCTTACATCGCCGGACACACTATTGACGGTACAGTTCTTAATGCCTTGATTTTTAAAAGCATTAATCCCTTTTTACAATTGAATTGACTCTGCCGTTTCTTGGTGGAACTCCATAAAAATAAAAATTAAACAAATGTTTATTATATCCTTTACAGGGTTATTCACTACATACGACACGAAGTATTGTAGCCAAACGATTAGATTTTTACAAATTATATGTTTTGGGTTCGTTGATGGACTATTAGAGCAACAATTTAAAAATATTTTTACAGGATACAGAGTGTCCCAAATAAATAAAAAATATCAAAGTTGTATTTTTTAAACGGAACACCTTGTATATTATTACATTTTTAGTTTCTACGATTAAAATAAAAGTAAATTTGATTAAGCTTTAAGGTTAACCTTAAGGTTACTATTTACGGTTTTGTCAAAATACAGTAAAAATTTTAATGCTTCATTTCTCTATGCGCATTTAAGTTTTAAAAACCTAATATTGTACTGAAGTTTCTCTATTTACTAAGTTTTGTGCTGCAATAATAAAAATTATACTACCTTATACAGAACGTCTAACTTTTTTTTTAATAATGTATGTATGTAAGTCCGGTTTTACAGCGTCCTTCGTCGCCCTCCGGTCTCCATGCGCCACCTCCGTCTATTGTCCCAATCTCCTGGTAGTAGGTTCCTTTCCGACATGGCTCTGTCGATTCCTTGATTCCAGGAAAGTTTAGGTCGGCCTCGTTTACGTCTGTCTGTAGGGGTCCACTGCAACACTTGCTTTGGTATTCTTCGTCAGCCATTCGTTGTACATGGCCGTACCACTGCAGTTGTTTTTCTTATATATCTTGTACAATGTTACCCTCCACCTTCATTTTTTCACGTATTCTCTCGTTCCTAATACTGTCTAAACGGGAGATTCGGGCTGATCTTGGCCAGAAGTCCATTTCGGTCGACAAAAACTTCTTTTTATGTTTTTCGCTTAACTGCCATACCTCAGAGCCATATAACATTACGCTTTTTAGAATCGCGTTATAAATCAGTTTTTTTCTGTGATCCGAGATATCCCTAGACCAAAGCACCGAGTTCAGCGCTTTTATCACCTTTCTGCCTTTACCAATCCGTTCTTCGATTCGCATCTCCCTTTGCTTGCGATTTTTACCCCTAAATACATATATTCTTCGCAAGCTTCAATTTTTATATTGTTATTTAATACTAGGTCTTCCAACTCGCCACCAGTACACATAGATCTTGTCTTCTTCTTGTTTAGCTCCAGTCCCCATTTCTCGTACTCCTCTATTAGTTTTCTGGTCATGTATTCTAGGTCTTCTTTGTCTTAGGCCATTACTATCTGGTCATCGGCGAAATGCAGTGTATACAGAGAAAGGTTGTCATTAATAGGTATTCCCATCTGAGAGCACTTCTTGCGCCAGTGCTTAAGAGCTTCTGGTAGGTAGATTTTGAATAAAGTTGGGGACAGACAACAACCCTGTTTTAGACCTTTTGATATTGGGAATAATTCAGATAGAGTTGGGCCTATTTTAATTCTTGCGGAACAATTGCAGTAAAGTTGCTGTACCACTTTTATTAGTGTTATATTTATTGGGCTTTTTTCGAGAACTTCCCATAGTTTCTTAATTGGTACCGTATCATAAGCCTTACTAAGGTCCACAAACAGGAGATGAATTTGGTAGTTATTCGTTGCCGATACTATACATCTGTAGTTAGTGCAAATATCTTTCGTTCCTTTTTTGTGGATCGGAGTTATCCATGACGTTTTCCATGAATCAGGTATGGGCTCCCCGTTAATATATGTAGTGAAAATACAAGCGAGAATTTCTTTCAAAATTTTCGGTCGGCATTTCAGAAGTTCCGCTGGTATTCCTTCAGGACCACTAGACTTTCCGTTTTTCATTGCAATTAAAGCCTTTTCAACCATATCTACACTCACCGTCATATATGTTCCTCGAGTTCTATATTCTTTCTTTCAATTCATTTTTATAATGTTCTTGGAATTTATTTAGGCTGATAGAAGGTATATTTACTTTAGGCGATTTATCCGATCTGACGTTATTTATAAATTTCCAAGCTTCATTTGATCTTGAGCCTCCTAGAAATGAGTTAATTTCAGCACATTTTCTCTCCCACGTTTCATTCCTTTCTTTGTTTAACGATTTCTTGAAAGTAGCGAGCTCCTTTTTGTATTCTGTCCTGTCTTCAGGTGATTTTGTACATATCTATTTGTGATATGCTTTTTGCTTTACGTTTTTCTGTTCTTCCAATTCTGTGTTCCATCCATCGTTATCAGATTTTTCTCTTGTATTTTCTTCGCCTAAAGCCTCACTTGCTGCAACTTTCAGAGCGTTTACCACATATGTGTATAGTTCTTTTGGCGACTTTTCCTTGTATTGGTCATCTAGAATTGCTTTTAGACGATTTTGATATAGTAATTTAACATTACTTTCTTTTAATAAATATGTTTTATATCTGATGGTCTTGATTTTTTCTGCGATGATCCGTCGTGCTGTCATTTACATTGCTATTATGTTTGTATTTTATTTTCATTTTTGACTTCACTAAGTAATGGTCACTACCATACTCCACACCTCTGTAAGCTCTCATGTCCTCGATTTTCCAATCCAATAATAATTCCACAAACAATAATATAATCTATAATTGATGTAAGTTGTCTAGTTTCTTGGTGCCAGGTGTATTTATGGATGTTCTTATGTTCGAAAAATCCATTCATGATTCTTAGTTTATTTCGCGAGCACAAATCAATTAGTCTCTCTCCGTTATCATTTATTGTAGTTTCCCCATATCTACCAACTACGTTATTATTTCGCTCACTACCCGTTCTTCCGCTCAAATCGCCCATGAGGATTATTTTTTTAATAATGATTTGCTTTAAACTGTAATAACTTCTTTAATTTAAATGGAACACCCCGTATATTTTACGGGAATCAGATGGAAAATATAATTGTCTATCAAATTGTATTTTACCACTTTTACTCTCTCTTCAAGTTTTTGTAGAAAATGAATTTTCATATAATTTAGACTTTTATCAATATACCCATGGAATAATGACATTTTAGATTATTTTTAAAGATGTAACAAATTTTCAATAGTCGATGTGTCAACGCAGGACGTCGAACAAGCCAAGAGCTAGGTAATTGCTTGGTATTTGTGACTGATTATCGTTGCCGATCATTGTTGCCGGCGGCTCTCAAAATATTGCCATTCATTTTTAAAATTTTCAAAGTTAAATAACCTGGTTATTATCAATTTATTTTAAAAATAGCAAAGAGAAAATATGTTTCTTTTGACCAGATCTATCACTCCTTAAAATACTTGCACTTATTTCTGGGACACCCTGTATAGGAAAACTAGGTAGAAGTTTTCCAATAAGAATAAATAAGCAAGGTGTACAAATAAAAATTAGAATCCTATTATTTTAACCATTTCATTGAGAATTGTCATAATTTTGCTACAATTTTCGAAATATGAAGGTGCCAAATTATACTGCCTAGAATCTCTGGGAATACATAAATTTAAAGATTCCCCTGTTTTATTATACTGCTAATTAGACTTCAGTAAAAGCCCTTTGTTGAACCTTTTTTAAAAACATCTTTCGAATCTGGAAAAAAATATAGGCCATAGTAATATAATAATAGGAGTATAAGTAGGCATTAGGAATTTGTCAGTTTTGAGAAAGCTACTATGTTAGCGAAACTTCTTCTTTTCTTTTAGAAGACGTATCGCCGGTTTCCTCCTCGTCTAAGCAACTCTTGCGAGGTTGACTGCCAACTGAATTTGTCAGTTTTGAGAAAGCTACTATGTTAGCGAAACTTCTTCTTTTCTTCTTATTTGTTTTTTAAAAACATCTTTCGAATCTGGAAAAAAATATAGGCCATAGTAATATAATAATAGGAGTATAAGTAGGCAGTAGGAATTTGTCAGTTTTGAGAAAGCTACTATGTTAGCGAAACGTGTCCGAAATTTGTTATTTTAAATTATTTCAATATGGTGGTATTTAATAAACATTTGTTTATAGTGTTCTTTTTCGTCTCATTTGTTTCAATATTTCTATTTTTAAAGGAAGGAATCTGTTTCCTGCTACTGGATACTTGTATATAGTATGGAACACTTTTGCCGACTCGCAGTGTCTACTGGTTCCTGACACAAAAGTTGTGTTTGAAAATTGTAGATTTGTTAGGGCACTGCAGATGCCTGCCAACGTTCAGGCCAAACTTGATCTCACCGTTACTATTCAGAAAGAATCCGGAAAATTCGAAGTAGCTGAAGGTAAGTCAAGAAAATCTGTTGTTTCTAGCATTTCAGATCCCTCCTTCTGGATGCTTTTTTGACCAAAACAACAAATTAAAAAAAGATTATAAAATTAAAAATAAAAGATTATAAAATACATTTATTTATTAAAAGTTAATAATGGTTACCAAAATTGTCGACTCAGTATGAATCGCAGAAATGCCAAGGTTTTTAGTAGTCTAGAGAGAAAAATAAATCCGTATATAGGAGTAATACCGCTGATTGAAAGAGTTGGAAAGATATGCAACATAATCGGCAAATACCTAATAAGGCTAAATTAATTTCTCTTACATCTCAAGTGCTGTAAGGTGGAGCCTCTACTCGTTCTGCAGCCAACGCATAAAACACTTATCTTTTCTAATTCGCCTAGCGAAGGCATATCGAAAACACTGTGGAACTGAAAGCGGCAGTGTTGCCATATTAAAATGTGTAATATCTGGAATAGGTACCTTTGATGAAAATATCTTTGGATGAAAAATCCGTGTTTATACAGGGTGGCGCACCTCATTCGCCTCGGTTGATTATACGAAAACGGAAAGATGTAGTAACAAAATATTTTATGGGTGTATGTGGGGAGTCAATGTGCACAATTTACAATTATTTTGAAATATACAGGGTATCTCAGAACTAAGATCCATACCAAAGTTATATTTTTTCTTAAGGAACACCCTGTATTTTATTTCATTTTTGGATTCTTGGACCCAAAAAAAGACATTTATTATAAGGGTTAAATATGTTTAAAATCATTGGTTTTTGAGATATTTAAAGATATTTGCATGCTACAAGAGAATTGATTATTAAGACCCTGTACATTACTTTTCAGAATTAATTCTTGTGCTGAGTTTAAAGGCAAAGAAATAAACTTTACTGAAAAATGTTATTGCTTCCTTAAATTTATACAGGGGTACCAAAAAGTAGTGATCTATTTTAAGGATTTATTTTACATAAAAACTTTGTTATTTCAAATGCAACGCCCTGTATTTTTTTAAATAAATCGAAGCAGAATCAAATTCTCTTTCAAACTATAGTAGGGTTTCATATACCTATCTATTTCAGATTTTGAATAAAAAGCGATTTTTAAATAAAATGGCAATCAAGATGGCTGGTATCGCCATGGCAATTTTGATTCTGCTTCGATTTATTTAAAATAATACAGGGTGTTGCATTTGAAATAACAAAGTTTTTATGTAAAATAAATGCTTAAAATAGATCACTAATTTTTGGTACCCCTGTATAAATTTAAGGAAGCAATAACATTTTTCAGTAAAGTTTATTTCTTTACCTTTAAACTCAGCACAAGAATTAATTCTAAAAAGTAATGTACAGGGTGTTGATAATCAATTTCCTTGTAGCATGCAAATATCTTTAAATATCTCAAAAACCAATGATTTTAAACATATTTAACCCTTATAATAAATGTCTTTTTTTGGGTCCAAGAATCCAAAAATGAAATAAAATACCGGGTGTTCCATAAGAAAAAATATAACTTTGGTATGGATCTTAGTTCTGAGACGCCCTGTATATTTCAAAATAATTTTAAATTGTGCACATTGCCTCCCCACATATACCCATAAAATATTTTGTCTCTACATCTTTCCGTTTTCGTATAATCAACCGAGGCGAATGAGGTGCGCCACCCTGTATATTGAAAATTTATTCATATTAAAGATAGAATAAACAACAAAAATAGAAATTCTTTTATAGGTACTGAATATTTCGTATGATCGAAAAAAGTCGTTTAGTTGACTTAGAAATAACGACTATTGACATTTACCTATAGGGTTGCCACCTGTCCTTTTTTGAAAAGGACAGTCCTTTTTTAGAACAAATTGTCCCTTTTACTTTTTTCGACCTAAAAAGTCCTTTTTCTTTACGTACCTATTTTCCATGAGAAATTATCTACAGCAACAAGTAATATTCCTTTTGCCCAAATTTAATTAGACATATTATAAAACTTATAAATAAATGTTTTTTTAAACGTCAAAAAAGTATTAATTTTTGCGACGTGATTGCAAGATAACAAGAGTCATTTTAACGCCTAGGCATAAAAGTAAAGCACTTTTACGCCTAAAGCCCCATACTCACACTTCGCTACTTCACTTCGTTCCTTCCTCGCGTCCCTTCGTCAAAAAATCATATATTTACTATGGGAAATTGTCGATTTTATGTGTGTTCCTTCCTCCTTCGTCAAAACGGTCCTTCGTCCGTTTACTTCCTCGAAACGCTCCTTCCCCGTACTGTCGGTTTTTGGACGAAGTAGCAAAGGAATTATCACGAACACAAAAAAATATTAAAATATATAAAATATATAAATCGATCTTGGATTTCATTCGTAGTTGATTTCTTGATTTGGCAGTACGTTTGTACAGGGTGTCTCATTTTCGTATGTTTTGCAGGGTTTCTCGTTTATGAGTCGAGATACAAAGATGCGGTTTTTACATTACGCTGTTACTTTTTTTATGAAACTAAAGATGCTACATACAGATATGTCCTAGCTCTCTTACTTCCTAAAATACAGGGCGAATCTGAAATGATTGCATTTTTCGATCCCCTTTGTATCATAACTTATCGAAAAGGCGAAAACGGTCTCCCGTACAGTTTTGCACGTAGAATGCAGTGACTATTTCTTCGTTGGAATCTGTCTTTTTTAAATTGACTAAAACTTATATGTTTTTTTAAATTCGACATTTTGTATATTATTTTATTTTCCTTGTTACGGGCTTTCTAAAATACTTATTTTTTTAAACGGGGTAAAAATGCATTATTTAACTTTATTACATAGTCGGCCGGTTTAAATTAGATAATCAAAACAATCAACTAATTTATTCTACGTAAAATGTTGTTTATTGGCATGTTATTTAAAAGCAGCACAAGTTCAGTTTCCGTGTAGTTTATCAAAATATCACGATGCAAAGCAAAATTATCTGGTAAAATTAAGTTAAATAAAATAAGAGCCGTTTAGTTTAGCAGTACCTATTTATTAATAAATAAATATAGAGTATATTATAATTTTAGAAAGCTCATAACAAGGCAAATAAAATAAAAAATAATATATAGAGTGTCCTGTTTAAAAAAAAGAACATAAGTTTGAGTCATTTTTCGAAATAGACAGCTCCCAACGAAGAACTAATTTCGTCACTGCATTCTACCTGAAAAACGAGACACAGGCGGTGGGTAAATACTCAATAGGTAGAAAAAAACAAAATTAGGGTATCCGGTATATACCTGTACATTTAGATGAACAGTCTAAATTTATAAAAGCTATTTTCAACGACCGCATAGTAAATACCCGGTATAATACCAGTAATATCAAGAATACGAGTATATCTACAATATTCCTTATATATAAATATATTGGTATATTTCTATTCTCGGTATTATACCGGACATTTACTATGCGGTCGTCGGAAACTCCTTTTATTAAAATTAGGATGTTCATCTAAATCTACAGGTAGGTATATACATATATACCCAGATTTTATTTATCTACAAATTGGGCACTTACCCACCGCCCATAACTGATCCTTTTCACCTTTTCGATAAGTTATAAGATAATCGAGATACAAATGTTATCGAAAAATGCAAAAAATTCTACTAATTAAAAAATAAAAAGTAAAAGAAAGAAATAAGAAATAACTTTGAACTAAGAAGGTTAGGATAAATCTGTGTGTAGCATATTTAGTTTCATAATAAGTAGAACAATGATGTGAAAACGGCATCTTTATATCTCCACTTATAAACCAGAAACCCCATAAAACACAGAAAAATGGGACATCCTGTACATCTAGCAATCGCCAGTCGATATAAAAATAATTCACACACAATAGTCTAAAAAATGGAAGAAAAAAACAATATTGTCTTCATATTGTATTCATACAAGACAAAAATAAAAAAATAGAAATAGTGTGCATGATGCCTTTACAAAAATATCTGAAGAAATGGGGATTGACATCATTAACGTTTAATTAGTATGTCATATTTCATGGTTTCGATATAAATTACATAATAAACTTTACTCTATTGTTGACTCGCCTTGTACATTCATACTGAAATATTGGGATTTATTAAAAAAAAATATATTATTAAAATTAAATTTTTATTTTTGACAAAGAATTGCAGTTTTATAAAATAAAAATTATGCGCCTTTCGGATTTTTTAAAAATTTTAGAGGTTAGGTACTAGATATTTTGTATTAAACATGTAGCTGCTCTATTAAAAATATTTTGTGGTGTGTTGTTGCATAATTGACTAATTTCCAAGCATCGAAGGGACGAAGGAAGGAAGCGAAGGGACGAAGGAACGCAAGGAAGTAACGCGAGGAAGTAACGCGAGGAAGTAAGGCGAGGAAGGAGCGAAGTGTGAGTATGGGGCTTAAGCAAAAATACGAAAATATATTATGAAACTGACATAAAGAGTCAAATTCAACGATTGTAACCAGAATTTCTCGATACGAAAAAAAAAACGGTGTCCAGTTGTCTTGGAAATAAACATCGATGACATTCTGCATATAATTTTACATATAAAATGACAGCGATCTTCATGCCATCGCTGACGCCGTTTTTTTTTCGATCATGCGGTACTATTGTTTAGAATCGGCAACATTATTTAGAACCCCCCGTCTCAAACCCCGAATCTCAAATGATAGTTTAGGATATATATTTAACCATTTTAATCTTATAAAGGGCTTTTCACAATTTTAAAATAGCAATTTATAATCGGTGGTTCACAATTAACAGCTACAATAGGCAATGCAATGAATGTAATAAAGAAAACAAACATCAAACAACTGAAAACTATGGACACCATACACTTGGCTTAAAAACTCGAATCATTAGAACATAGATAAGTCATTAAAATGACTTGTTTTAATATTTGCTTAGCCAAACTTTTCCATAATTTTTGTCGAAAATACGTACTCTGCACACGACTGCAATAACGACATTTCTAGAATTACTTTGGGAAAATTACAAAAAAATTGAATATATTAAGTAGTAAGTAAGCTTTTAGCTTTAAGTAAAATATAGAAACACAGAATGTATTATTTTAATAACCTATAATCATTATTTCCTGCAGGTAACGCAACTGTAGTAACAGGTAGAATTCGTTTGGCTGTGGACGACCAAGATGAAGTAACGCCTCTGCCACATCCCGTTGGAGTACCCAATTCGACTGTTCCTTATATGACGAGAAAAGATGTTTATAAGGAACTCAGATTAAGAGGCTATAATTACAGGTAACTATTCAGTATTCTTCTTTTAGCGTTTGCTGAAATAGAATATAATTAGGTATATCTTTTATTCAATGCCTTTAGTGAATTTTAAACTGTTTTGTTACTGATCTCAAAACAAAGACTCTGCATGTTTTCCTAAATTGTTTGAGCACGTTAACAATTAAAAAGTTCCAACGTTATAAGAACTTCAATATCCTATAAACTAGCAGTTGCTCTTTGAATAGTCTCCGTGTATGTAACAACATTAGAAATTAGATATAATTGATCTCAATTGATAATAATTCAACGGAGATATATTTGTTGATAATTCTTAGCTTAATCAATCATTTCCAATTATGGTGTAGCCTCCCTCACATATTTGGATATTCACTTAGTAGTTGGGTCCATTCTTGTCTATTGTTGGCCCTGCTAATTTATTAATATCATGGTTTTATCTCAGGTTCGGTCTTCTTCTAGGTCTCTTAATTCCTCGTGGGTACCATGCTGTAATTTTTGTGGTCCATCTTCCATCTGTTGTCCGTCATCGCCACTTGATTCTGCGGATGACATCTATTACCTGGATCTTTTGTCATATCCTCTTTATTCTTTTACGGTATTTCTTAGTTATTCCCAGCATATTTCGTTCCATTGAGCGTTGTGCGACCTGCAGTTTCCTTATAATGTTTGTTTTAAATGTTAGTTTTTACATGCATAGGCCATAACTGGTTGTACACATTTTTTTTTCTTCTTTAGATAAAGTGGCAGTCTATATTTGAATATGATTAAGTTTCTTCCATAAGTACTCGATGCCAACTTAATTCTTCGATTGATTTCTGGTAGTAAAGATCCCGAGCTGTGTATTAGTTGTCCCAAATATATGTATTCTTCTACTATTTCCAGTTTTGTATTACTTGTTAGAATGTCTTTTCTGTCTACTAGTGCGTTGTACATTACTTTAGTTTTTGCTAAATTCATTTTGAGACCTACTTTACTTCTGGCTGTATTTAGTTCGTTAATTTGTGTTTGTAGTTCTTCAGGACTATTGGAAATTAGAACTAGGACTGTCAGCAGCAAATCTTAGGTGGTTAAGATATTCTCCATCTATTTTAATACTTTGTTGGTCCAGTCTAGTTGGCGGAAGATTTCTTCTAGTGTTGCTGTAAACAGCTTTGGGGATATTGCGTCTCCCTGTCATACCCTTTGCGAGTTGGTAGCTCTGGGGTTGTTTTATGTATCATTACTTCTTTGTATATATTGGCGGAGTTTCTATATAAGGCCTGTCAATACCTTGTTTCGCTAGCGCTTCTATTATTGTCTTAGGATATATCACCTCGAAAGCCTTCTCAAAGTCTACCGGGTGTTGCATCGTGGGACGGGACATAGGAAATCCCATGTAAATTTTAATGGGGTCAATTATTGGCTTCTCTAATTATTTTAGAGAATAATTCTATTTAGGTTTATTGAAGAGCACTAAAACCCACATTCAAAAGAATAACTTTAGATATTTTTGATTAGCTCGTTTACGAGTTATCGCCGATTTCTTTTTAAATATTTCTCCTTTCTTATGGCCCTGTATTTACTTATGAGCACCAGTCAAGGTAAAAGATAACTGTCAAATGAAGTTGTCATTTCAGAAATTTACCTATTTAGTGCTTTGTTATTATTGAAAACTCATTCCTACATCGGAAATCTTAAAGATGTATTTATAAATACAAATTAATATGAATTAAAGTAAAATAAAGTAATCAATTACAAGGTTAATTATAGTATTATTACAATATTCATAAACTTATTAATTTACGTACTATTAAATTGTTAGAACTTTAGGATTTAAGAAGATGTTCAAATATTCCTCCATCGACTGCTAGACAATAACCCAGGCGATCATAAAATTCTCTTCTTACATTCGCTAGTTGGTAAACTGAAATTTTATTGCATTCGGCAGAAATAGCATTTTTTAACTCGTCTAGATTTGGGTATTTTTTATCCTTGTATATCCTGTTTTTTAAATGGCCCCAGAGAAAGAAATCATTTGGCGAAATATCAGGAGACCTTGCTGGCCAATTTACTATATGATTTAGGCCAATAACGTTTCCGTTAAAACTATTGTCTAAATATTCCCGAACAGCCAGGGTACTATGTGCCGGGCAGCCATCCATTTGGTACCAAACTGCCTGATTTTCCCTAGCGGCATCATGTAAAGCAGGTAAAATATGATTTTCGAGTACTTCCAAATAATATTCTGCATTTAAATTTCGCGCAAGAAATAATGGCCCGATAATATTGTGTCCGAATATCCCTGCCCAAACATTTACTTTCTGTGGATATTGCGTCCTTGTTTCGACAAACCTGTGTTGGTTTTATTTGTTCCAATATCGATAATTTTGAACATTGGGTTCATTATTTAAGGTAAACGTGCATTCGTCAGTGAAACATATGTTTTTTAAAAATTCCTTATCCGTGTTTGCTCTTTCCATCATATCAAAACAAACCGCCTGCCGGCGTATTTCGTCCCCATCTCGTAGCTCTTGGTGCTTTTCATATTTGAAGGAATAGTATTTATGTCATTTCAAAATTCGAAACGCTGTAGTGTGATCTATTCCTATTTCATCCTCAAGTTTCCTTGTGCTGATCTTTCCATCGTTCTCTTCCACGCACAATAAAACTTCCAAGTCGGTATCATTTCTTGCATCTTCTCTTTGTTCCTGCCTTGCTTCACAGCTGCAGTTATTTATTAGGGTACCTTTGGTCTCAAATCTCTGGATATTCCTTGCGATTGTAGATTTTCCAGGTATCGGTCTATTCGGATACAGAGCAGCAAACATGTCCGACACCTTTTGATAACTATTTCCTTGATAATACCATTTAATCACCAATGCTTTTTCTTCGGTAGTGTAATTCATGTATAATATTTTCGATGTAGGTATGACTTTTTAATAATAATAATAAAGCACTAAATAGATAAATTTCTGAAATGACAACTTCATTTGACAGTTATCTTTTACCTTGACTGGTGCTCATAAGCAAATACAGGGCCATAAGAAAGGAGAAATATTTAAAAAGAAATCGGCGATAACTGGTAAACTAATCAACTCGTAAGCTAATCAAAAAGATCTAAAGTTATTCTTTTGAATGTGGGTTTTAGTGCTCTTCAATAAACTTAAATAGAATTATTCTCTAAAATAATTAGGGAAGCCAATAATTGACCCCATTAAAATTTATATGGGATTTCTTATGTCCCGCTCGACGATGCAACACCCGGTATGTATTCTTCTACTATTTCCAGTTTTGTATTACTAGTTAGAATGTATTTTTTGTCTACTAGTTCGGTGTGTATTACTTCAGTTTTTGCTAAACTCATTGTGAGACCTACTTTATTGCTGGCTGTATTTAGTTCGTTAATTTGTGTTTGTAGTTCTTCAGGACTATTAGAAATTAAAACTAGGACTGTCAGCAGCAAATCTTAGATGGTTAAGATATTCTCCATCTATTTTAATACTTTGTTGGTCCAGTCTAGTTGACGGAAGATTTCTTCTAGTGTTGCTGTAAACAGCTTTGGGGAAACCAAAGTGTCATACTCTTTTGCCGGTTGGGAACTCTGATGTTGTTTTAGATATCATTAGGTACTCTTGCTTTGGTTTCTTTATATATATTGGCGAGAGTTTCTATATAAGACTTATCAACGTCTTGTTTCGCTAGGGCTTCTATTATTGCCTTAGGATATATCAAAAGCCATCTCAAAGTCTACGAGTACAAAGGCTATAGCTGGTGGAACTTCGTATTCTTTTGTTCGGCTGATAGTTTGATTGAATAATATTGGTTATTTTGATTGCAGCGGAAAGTTCAAAGGCATCCAGTCTTGCGATATCAGCGGTCAAGTAGCCACAATCAGTTGGGATGGAAACTGGGTGGCATTCATGGACAATATGCTTCAGATGAAGATTCTACAAGAAGACACGCGGTTACTCTACGTTCCCACTACCATTGCGAGATTGACTATCGATGCGAAGAAACATATTGAATATAGTAACACGTTTGGGGATACACCGAATGTTCCAGTTTACGCATCCAAGGAAAGTGGCATAATAGCGTACGTAGATATACAAGGTCTCTCGAACTGTATTCCGGAAACTTCGGCAGATAAAAATAAGTAAAAAAGGTTCGTATTAATGCATATCCTAAAATGTTTAGTTTCGGAGATACAGGGTGTAGAAGTGTCATTTTTATTTCGATTTTTTTCCGAAATCGATATTTGGTTGAAAATTGGTCTCTGGGTGTTTTTTAAATTAAAAATTTCATACGCGATGTCAATATGACTCCGACTTATAGAGGGCGCCACCTACATATTTTTAACTGGTTTAAAGAGTAATAACTTTTCGTCTGTACCTGTATAAAAATACCGACTGAAAAAATATACATTTCCGCCTTTTTTTTACGTTAAAAAGGTCTCTTGGTCGCTACTACTAACCGCTCTCGGTATACTATTATAACTCTCAAGATTTTTGAAATGTAAATTATTAATACATGTCATTACTGACAAAAATAAACATGTCAACTACATTTTAACTAGAGATTATTTGACTAAAATTATAAATTTGCGGGCTTTTTATTTTTTTAAATTAATCATAATTTTTTCTAGAAAAACATATGATGAAACAGTACCTATCTATTGCACCTTTGACACAAAACACTTCAAATTTATGATTTCAGTCTAATAATTCAATGTTCAATTTTTAAATGGCGAAAACGTGTATTTTTGTACTCGGCAGTTTAATACAGGTAGGGACGAAAAGTTAATACTCTTCAAACTAGTTAAAAAATATTCAGGTGGCGCCCCCCACAAGCCGGAGTCACATTAACATCGAAATCAAATTTCCCGTCTCAAATAACTCCCAGGCATCAAGTTTCATCGAAATATTAGTTTGGTGTCCAATTATTTTGAAAAAATCGAAATAAAAATGAAACTTCTACACCCTGTATCTCTGAAATAAAGCATTTTAGGACACACATTTATACGAACTTTTTACATTATCGGCCGAATATGATGCCGAAGTTTCCCGAATACAGTTCGGACGACCCTGTATAACAGATCAATGCCTAAAGAAATTAAGCTTGATTTTCCTGCATCCGTTGTCCGACGATACGATATTAATTTTGTTGGTTGAATTTAAGGATTTCGATTGGTTAGAAAATTACGCAGCTTTTTAATTTACTGCATTTTCATTCATCAGATATACGATTTTCTTGTGATTGGTGTCATTTTATATTTTCATTTCCATAACGATTTCGCTGTTTTACTTATAGTTTAAGAGCTAGCAACGTTTTCGAGAGAGAATTTTAACAACGCTGGATCTAATTAACATATTTTTGCCGGTAAACGTTGCGTTCACTACTGCGCATCATACTTGTATTCAATGTATATGTACACTACTGCACATCACAAATTCGCCCTGTATTTCAGGAACTAAGGAGGCTAGGACAAACCTATGTGTAGCATATTTAGATTCATAAAAAAGTAGCAAAGTAACGTGAAAATCGCATTATTGTGTCTCTACTCATAAACGAGAAATCCCATAAAACACGAACATAGGATACCCTGTACAGATATGATGCGCAGTAGTGAACCATGAGTGAACCGCAGTAGTCTACCAGCAGCCAGACGGCCCACACTTTGGTCAGGAGAGCATAATAAAAGATTTATTAAAAAACCAGCTTTCTTAAAATTCTCGTTTTCCCGACGGTGCTAGTTCTTGTATTATTATATTTTCATTAAGGTTACATTAAATTTGTCAAAAAAATGTCAAAACGTCCGTTATCGTACAATCTTTCTTCGTTGACGGGCTGGAGTAAAAAATTTACGGATGAAAAGTGGCGCGAAAACGCTATGACCAATCAGAGCGCCATCGGACCATCGTATCAACGGATAACGGACATATGAAAATCAAGCTAAGCAGAATAAAAGTAAATAAATAAAACTAAAAATAAAATGGCCTTGATAAAGACGAAAATACACGTCGAAACGTCGGCAATTTTTAAAAAATAAAAGTTGTTAAATTCATAGTCCTAAACCTGCGAACGCCATTTCATCCTTAAATAAATAAAATAATTTAATTAAAATGCATGTATTTGAAAGTTTAATTTGCTCTAATTTTCGTATAAAAACCATATAAATTAATACTATTACACACATGAATTTAGATCGGGTGGTATTGAAATCCGTGGTCTCATCGCAAGTTCCATAGCCAGAAGAAAGTACCTAGGTAGTCCAGTTCTAGAAAAACACGTGTTCATACCAAACATTGCTGATCTCAAGTTGGAACAAGCTCTTCGAGTCAACATGCAACTTATCCTGGAGAACGCCTACAGTATACACATTAAAGTAGCCGAATTGGTTGATGAAGCAACTCCGGAAGAAAATCTCATACTTGGTAATTGAAATTGATTTACTCAACAAGATATAAATATTCTCAACTTAATTATACTCAGATGCAAAAAAACGCAACGGAGAATTTTTTATTGAAAGTTGTATATAATTATATGTCATAATAAAATTTGTAAACTCCGTTTTTTTAAAAACTTTAGTATTTGGCATATTATTCAGGGTTAATCGAGGGGTTGTTTTTTTACCTTAACTTTAAAAAACCCTGTGCAATAATTTCGTGTGTAAATTTTTCTAAAATATAATTTTACGGTCAGAACCATGTCTACTGAGCATTTTGTTTTTTGGATCATGTCAATAAATGCCATCGTTGGTTTTTAATAGCGAAAAGAACTTACCACCAACAATTTGCAATTTTTTCAGTTGTCATTTCTTTCTGAAGTTATTTTTTAATATGACAAGGCGGCTTTGGTGATTATTGTGAACTATATACTACTATGAACTACCCATCATGTTCGGCGTTTGGGAAATTCTTGGTAGGAGGGTTAGAGATCGCGAAACGGGTACCAGATTATTTTAATAAACTTGGCTTGGTCCTTATTATAGAAGAATGGGAAAACATAACGCAATATGATATATGCAGCCTCAATAACAGTATGAATGGACATATACAGGAAGTTTTAGCATCCAAAGGAGGCAATACAAAATATTAGGGTATTTTTTACTTTTTTTTGTTGAATACTTGAGTACCTATTACAGATATTACTCTTTAATATCGTTGGTCCTGTTATCGTTATTACTGATTATTAAAACCAGAACTGTGTATTTAGTCTTTAACGTTTTTTTTAATTTAGTTTAGAGTAACGCCAATGTAGCGTAATATGACGTTACGAAAATAGTCACGAAGACCATCTCGTCATATTAAAAAATTACATCAAAAAGTAATGATAATTGAAAAAATTACAAATTGATCGTGATCAGTTCATTTCGTTCTTAAAAATTAATCAAAGCATATGTATTGACATGAATCAAAAAACAAAAAGGAGTCATGGTACTGACCGTAACACGAGGGGTGTCTCACTCGGGTAAAAAATGTACACGTACTGCCAAAATATCCTTCCACTGCTAAGTGACTGCCAGTGACTATGAAGAAGACTGCCTATGACTGCCATGTAATTATTATAGGCGACTGCCATAAGATTGCCAATGACTGCCAGCGACTGCCAAGAAAATGTACATGTAATTCCAATAGTGAGACACCCCTCGCCGTAACATTATATCTTAGGAAAATTTACAAACGAAATTGTTGTACAGTGTTCTCCGTTGCGTTTTTTTGCATCTGAGTCTATATAAAATATTACTTTATTTAAAGTACCATTGTCCAATTCTATAAGTTAATCCTTCTCTCTTTTTGCGTGTATAAATTCTTGTAAATTTAACCTATAGGTACTAAATATTTATATTTTTTGTCAAACATTTTAGGTGATATTGCTTTTGATGTTCTGGCTGATCAACCATTAATTCAACCAAATATCACTGTATTAAGTAAAACTGAAATTGAAGTTAGAAATGTCACTGTGGAAGACAAAAAGCTGCTTACAGAAGTCGACTGTCATTTAGTTATAGGCTCGAAACTTTTAGAACGGCACACAGTAAGTCATTTCTACTATAATTTAAAAATATTAAAATTACCCCTATTATATTTACCTAAGTATTATATATGTCACTGTAAATGTCCGAAATGCGGTAAAACGCGTTTTACCTAGGTTTTACCGCATTTCGAGTTGGTTAGCGTGATTATTTGGAGGGTGTTAATTCATTGGTAAATCCTACGTTTAGCGCGCTTATCCTAGGTTTTACCGCGCTTATCCTAGGTCTTACCGCATTTCGGATATTTACAGTAACATATATACCTAATTATTATACAGGGTGTCCCAGAAATAAGTGCAAGTATTTTAACTGGTATAACTAAATGGTAACTGGGTTCAACCCCAGAAACACGCCTATGAGGTTTTTTTCACGAAAAAAAAAATTAAAATCCGAATTTTTTTTAATTTTTTTTTGGTAATTTGTTTAGTTTTTAGTTAAAAAACATAATTTCTTGATAATATGGCAACATAGGTATTAGATTAAATTTAGAAGAAAGAAAATCCAGAGACGTTCCAGTGGTTCTCAAAATTTTAGTAAAAAATCTTTAGTAAAACATTTTTTTTTTTGGAAAATATCAAAGTAAAATAAGAACTTCGTTAGTTTGGACATATTTGAAAAGCAATAAAGAGAAAATATGTTTCTTTTATCGAGATCTACCAGCCCTTAAAATACTTGCACTTATTTCTGGGACACACCCTGTATATTAAATATACCTATGTGGCGGATTCATCTCTCCAAAAAAATCCTATATGGGTATTTCGTCACTGAAAGAAAATCTACAAAATAAAATAGTTATTTTTTGTAAACACTGCTGCGTTAATCCAACGGAAACCACTTATTAGCAATTAGGTTTACAGATAAACAGTAAATTTGCCTAACGATAACGAACAAAAAAATGCTTTTTTGTTCGTTAAGTTCGAAAAGTTTATCTCTTTCCGTCGCCGGAAGCAAAAAAAATACAAAGAATAAAGAAAAAAACTATTTAAAATATTTAAATTCAACTATTCGAGAATATTTTAGTTTTTTTAAACAGATACGTCTGCAAAAACCGTTGACGTTCTGTTAAAATGACATTATATGAAGTTAAACCTCAAAATTAACAATGACTACCTGATAACAATTACTAATAAGGTAAAACCAAAAAGCCTCAAACTCTCTGTACGATTATTTTTAATTTTTAGGTAAGTTATGTTTATTTATGTTATGCTCTTTAAAATCAAAGAAGCGATTGTCATAACATCACTAGCATCTACAGATGCAAATTAAAAAAATAACGCAGCAGTGTTTACAAAAAATAACTATGTAAAAGAAGAAAAAGATTAAATGGCTCATCCCTCAACAACTCGTAACCGTATAGACCAGTGTATACCAGTGCAGACACGCACATTCACACACTCACACAACCAAACCTACACTAGTGTACACTGATGTAACTGCCTTCAGGCTTCATCAGTACGGTAAGGAATCAGGAAGCGATGAAATCGATCTCAAAACACAAAAGACCAGGAAGCAAACGAAGCAACGAGGCACCGTGTGCAACCCAGGAGATGGAAAAAAAATTGATGCAGCAGCGAAAATAAATGATGGGAATAAAAGAAGCAAACGGGAGCCTAAAGCCCCAATTTGCAGCCAAGAACCAGAGTCGCCCAGGATTGCGGGCTTCGTCCAGAATAGCCGCGGAGGTAGCCGACAGCAACACGCCGCAATACCCTTAGCCGTGGTACCAATATGAACAAGCAAGAAATAGTGAGGGAAATGTATAAAAAAGAAGAAAAATATTAAATGGCTCAGCCATCATCAACCTTTGCTTCCTGGTTTTTTGTTTTCCTTCTTTTTTATACATTTAAGAAATAGTGAGGGATTTCTTTCTTGTTCATAACTATTTAATTTTGTAGATTTTCTTGCAGTGGCGACAAATATGTACATATAACAATATCCTTGGATAAATGTTTTGCAATGCTTGTACCGTCTGTTTCTCCATTGGACATTAGCAATAATAGAATAAGCTTCAACTTAGAAATCAAAATTATCTTTAGTTGTTTTTATACCAATAAACAAAAATAAGTTACGACGGACATTTCACTTCATTTTCAGGTGTTAAATGTAGCTTTGGGATCAATTCAAGAATCAGGATTCATCCTATCGCGAGAATCTTTAGATTTCGATCCGTCATCTTGCAAATCCGACGAAACTACTTTGATAACCGTCTTCAGTACCGAACAAGAAAAATTAGTGTTCCTTAGAAAAGTAACCGAGTTCAAACCACCGGTCGTTATAAAGATCTCATCCTCAGATACGGAATTTTCATGGTTGCCGAAAGTGCGAAGTGTATTGGAGAAAGAAAAGGATGGAAACGTTCTGTTGTATAGTTTAGGAGAGACGGCAAGTGGTATTATGGGATTATTCAACTGCATCCGTAGGGAACCAGGTAATTGTTAATATTCTACAAGTATCCATAAAATTATAAATGCATTGTTACTGCAACTTAGATTAGACGATATTTTAAAAAACGTCTAGAGAACGTTAAAAAAAGAACAGCAAATTTCTTCACTTCATGTCATCACTAGTCATCACTCTTATAATCTTTGGTATTAGGGTCTTTTTCATGCCAGTCAACAGTGTATGAAATAAAATTTGACCTATCGCCTTACTCTATTATCTTTGCAAGTTTTCATTATGGGCTACGTAGAGTAGTTCTGTCATTAGTGAGCTTGTTTAGCTGTTTTTGAGTGATCGTTACTATTAGGGTTCAGAACCGGGAAATCCCGGTACCGAAAGTACCGGGAATTCCCGGTTCTTTTGAGACATCAAAGAACCGCACTCTCTACAGGGTGGCGCCTCTCATACGCCGCGGAAGCTCCAAGGAGAACGGTAGTTTATATCGAAATGAAATTTTGTCAGCGTATGTAGGTTAACTGGAAGCATCTTATAAAAATATATAGAATTATACAGGGTGTTCCCAAAAAAAGTTACACATTAAAGTTGTGTTTTTTGTAATGGAACACCCTATATATTAATTGATTTTCGGATTCTAGGAAAAAATAAAGGTGGGTTTTATTAAAGAAGCATATACCTAAAATCTAAGAATTTTGACATATATCACATTTTGTGAAAATGTAGAATAAATTTTAAATTTCAAATAGTTACCTAAATTTTAGTTGACTTTGTATAGCCTGATATTTAATTACAGTAACCATTGTATGTTAAACAAAATTGAAATTTGACCCGAAAAGTTATACAGGGTGAGACAAAATTAATATGGAACATTAGTCACTTTTAAAAGCAAGTTACTCCTTTATTTTAAATAGAATACCCAGTATATTATTTCGGTGTTCAATGGGGAATTTATATATCTTCAAAATATTATTAAGGTTGCTTACCTCTCAGACAAAGATTTTCCTAGATATTTTCATTTTTATGATTTTGCATCAGTAGATCGATATTATTTGATATAATCTAGGTGGCTGTGGATATACCTTTTGTTAATTTAACAAAAATTGAAGGCTTTAGAGTAAAATATTCATCGGTAATAAAAAAATACACGTTCAAAACATATTTTAATTATTACACAATTAAAACTAGATATAAACCTATAATTAAGTGACAAAAATTAGCTAGATGAAATAAAATGCTCAAAATGCTTTCCTTTCTGCTAACTGCATAAAATGATTGTCTTTTCAAAAGGATCTTTTTATTTTAAAAGGCATTATGTGGAATTCTACCTCGAAAAGCAGCTTCAATAATTTCTCTCATGTTGTCGACAATAGTAGGTCGAGTTTTTTAAACACTGTCTTTAACATATCCCCATAAAATCAAGACTAGGTAAAATCAGGAGCATTTAAGTATTCTATTAATTGGTGAATGCACACTGCATTCCCCAACTAATAGAATCATATCAATTCTTTCTGATGTAGGATAAGTTTGCATTTTCGGCAAATTTCTGAGATTTTTTTTTTTGTTTTAACTGACACAAAATTATAACTAGTTGTTAAAGTTGGACTAATTAGACAGCTATGTTGAAGTAACGTCAGACATATCACAGCCACCTAGATTTTATCAAAATAATAAAAATCTACTCAGATCAAATCATGTAAATGAAAATATCTAGAAAAATCTTTGTTTGAGGGGTAGGCAACGTTAATAATATTTTGAAGAGACATGAATTATCCATTGAATATCGGAATAATATACTGGGTGCCCCATTTAAAATAAAAGAGTAACATGCTTTTAAAGGTGACCAATGTTCAATATTAATTTTGTCTCACCCTGTATAACTTTTTGAATCAAGTTTTAATATGATTTAAAGTACAATAGTTAATTTAACTACATATTAGGCTATATCGAGTAAATTCCAATTTAGGTGGCTTTTATTGTAATTTAAAAATTGTTCTTTATTTCTAGAAAATGTTAAATATGTCAGAAACCTTACATTTTAGTCATATACTTCCCTTATAAAACTCACCTTTATTTTTCTCCCAGAATCCGAAAATCAATTAATATATAGGGTGTTTCATTACAAAAAACACAACTTTGATATGTAACTTTTTTTGGGGACACCTTGTAGAACTCTCTATATTTTTAAAAAGTGCTCTGAATTAACCTACATATGCTCACAAAGTTCATTTTAATACAAACTGTCGTTCTCCTTCGAGCCTCCGCGGCGTATGAGAGGCGCCACCCTGTATACTCTATAATAATTTTAAAATGTGTATCTTAATCTTCCCTATAAGTTTTATATTTAATATTTTTTTTGTAAACTTCGAAACAAATGAGATAATGGACTTTGCTCTATCGTTGACTCACCCTGTACGATAATTCTGACACTTCTTTGACCACTTCAAGCAAATTGAAGTCTCTCAGACTCCATGTCAACAATTAAGGGTTAAATAAAATCAACTTTATCCTAACCTTCCCTATAACTTTTGTATTTAATATTTTTATAAGCCTCGAAACAAATGAGATAATGTACTTTGCTCTATCGTTGACTCACCCTGTACGATAATTCTGACACATCTTTGAATACTTCAAGCAAATTGGAGTCTCTCAGACTCCATGTCAGCAATTAAGGGTTAAATAAAATTTTATTTAATTCTATTCTGATCTATAAAATGACTTTTTTAAACTTGGTAGAGATGCAGATTAATTTTGAATTCTATAACATATTCTAGAATATCTTTTGTTCATACAAAAAGATTGAATCGTCGTCTATAAACGTTTTCTTGGATGGATAAATAAATTATAGAGGAAAATATAATATCTTCGTATTCGTGTCCCACGTTTCATATACAGGGTGATTCTTCAATAAGCAAAGCTCTGAAATCATCCTTACTGGAGAGAGCCGTATATGCGGTAAACGACTTTTTGTTGATATTTAATCTTGAACAATTTTGAATTTTAAAATTTTGAGCATCTCAAACACTGGTTAAAAATCTAGTATTTAATATTTTATAATAACACACTTAAATTATTATAACCATTTACAATTATCCAATTGTAAAATTTTTATTGATACGTTTTTTTTGTGTTGCAATATCCATGTATGTTCTATTTGTAATTTTAATGGCGTATTTTTTTTTGAATTGTATTATGCTTGGTTAGATCTTTTATTGTTTGTATATTTTTTGTGCTTTTGTTTGTTTTTTAAATGCCTTGTCGTTGAAGCTATTTTGGCTTTTTGTACAATAAAGCGTTATTTATTTATTTATTATTTATTTACTTAAGTGCAACAAAAAATGGAATTTTTTGAAAAAAAATTTGGAAATTTTTAGTTAATAAAGATAATAACTTTATAATATGGCAACATTGGTAGTAGATTATTATTTACAAGAAAGAAAACCCAGAAGAGATATAGCGGTTCTTAAAATTTAAGCAAAATATCATTTTTTTTGAAATTTTCAAAGTAAAATATAGTAAACGCCACGAATGTTTGGGAGTGATTCATCGCTTGATAAAGTTAGAATCGACACGCGCGCTATCATTTTTACATTAAAAACGTAAATTTTTACCGCAGACGTAGGTTTTTAAAGGCCCGGTCTAATCATCTGCCTGCGCTCCTCCTACTTATTCTAAAATGTAAGCGTGATTGACAAAGACGATACTATATCGCGTTTCTTTGATTGATTCGTGTTTGTGCGTCAGTCCATTGGTGTGCTTGCAGTGCGAACAATGGGGCATTCCAGTTTATATTTATAACCAAATATATGTTTTGACAAGACTTTGACAGTTAAAGCAACGCTTAAACTTAAAACACCACGGCACTGGAATTAAGTTTTATGTGACCTTGAACAAATTAGTTCACATGGTAGCTACCGATGACACCAAACATTCGTAGCGTTTACTATATATCGGTTATTTTGTACTTATTTGTGGAGAAAATATGTTTTTTTTATCAAGATCTACCAACCCTGAAAACATTTGCACTTATTTAGATAGACTCACTCTGTATAAAGACTTTTATATTTAGATAGACTTTTTATTTAGATAGACTCACCCTGTATAAAGACTAGCAGACTTTTATCGTGACTGGAGTATAAAGAAAAACAAAATTTATCGATAGCTACAAAATATGGTTCTTTTTTCCAGGTGGTCTAAGATCCAAATTAGTATTTATACCAGATACGGAAGTGCCCGAATTCGACATAAATCTACCATTTTATGAATCCCAACTGAAAAAGCAACTGGCTTTGAACGTCTACAAGAACGGACAATGGGGCACATATAGACATTTGCTTTTTGATCAGAGCAACATAATTCAGAGGGAGCATTACTATTTGAACTCCTTAATTCGAGGTGATTTAAAGTCGCTCACTTGGATAGAAGGGCCACTTTCACTGGAAAATCCAACTTGCAAGGAACCCGAAGAGACATGGGTAGCTGTAAGTATTTCTAAACAGAAAAATATTGTTAAGTTATAATGTTAATAAGTACCATACGATCAAAAAAAAAACGGCGTCGAAGACGACTGGGGAATGACAGTCGATGATAATTTTGGTTGGGAGGTCTAGGGATTGACCTCATTTCCTCGGTCTATATTCGACGTCATTTCCGCGGTCTATATTCTTTTTAATTTTGGCCTTAAGAAGATTGTAATTTATTTTTATAAAAAATGTTAAATGGTGTAGTAATTATTTTTGGAAATAGAAGTGTGTTTCTATAAAAGTTTTACTCATTTTTAATCGTTCTATAATTAGTGTTAATTTTTAGTAAATGACATTTAGAGTGTAACAGGGGGAAATTTTGAGGGTCGGTTTGATGAAGTAAAAGGCGATAGTTTAAGTTCCTCGTGTATTTCTCTCTCTCTTTTGTAACTCTTTGCTATAATGGCTAGAAAATTATATAAATGATTTGCTGATCTTAAATATTATGGATAATTCTTACCTAGCACCAAGTTAATTCATACAAAATATAATAACTAATAAGATGTATGGTGAAATTTTAAACCACAGGCTGCCGCCGTTATTTGCAAAAGTTAAGAATAAATGTAGAAATAAATTTACTTAAATCGAAGATATTTTTTATCCGCATACCAGATTTATTTAATAAAATGGGTATGAGCGGCGACATCTACAAGACAGGTGTTTGAACGCATTGAATGTTAATAAGGTTTACTACATTTACACTAAAATATTCCCATGTAGTTCCGCAATTTAACAACAAATATTCAGTAACCTAATATATTCTGTTTCATCTGCCTCCCTGTGAACTGAGAGGTCGAAGAACACACGAGGTTCACATAATTTATAAATTTAATAAATAGTATCAATATATGTGCTATAACTATATAGCTCACACAATTTATGGCGGGTGATATGCCTTAAGATGGTTTACGTGGAATAAGCCGCGTTCAGTAAACGATTCCGGGTGCTCTAACATATACGTATTAAAACTTACAGCACTCTTTATTCGATAGGGTCCTTCAAATAACAAAAGAAATTTTTTGTTTCTGCACTAAAGCAGAGGATATATTATTAGATCGAAGTAAAACTAAATCTCCCTCTTTAAATACCGGGTATGGTCGACTTGGATAGTTAATAGCTCTCCGTGCTGCGCGACTTTGTAATGTTTCTTTGGCAAGCCACATTTTCCTCTCCGAACTAACATCCTGTGTCCCGATGGGATTTGAAAGAAATGACGGAAGAAATTTAGGCACGGTGGTGTTGTGCTGCAATTCGTGCGGAGTAAAACCTGTCGATTCGTGAACTACAAAATTCATCAAGACAGCAAATCTTTTTAATTCATGTGCCCAACGAGTATGTTGCCCCGCACAATATACGCGACACAAGCGTCCTAGTTCCCTCATTACTCTTTCGGAAGAGTTTGCTTGGGGGTGTCTAATCGAATTAAAAATAACCTTTATACCTAGAGATTCCAAAGTTTCTCGCCATCGTTTAGAAGTGAACTGAGAACCATGGTCTGAAAGAATACGATTTGGTCGGCCATTTTTAGGAAAATAATCTAAAATTAGACGATTAAGTGCAGCTCGAGTGGTTGCATTTTTTAAAGGATATAACGCAATGTATTTAGTAAATACGTCCAAGACTACTAAAACATATTTGGCACCAGCACGACTTCGCGGTAGGGGACCATATAAATCTAAAGCTACTAAGTCACCTTTAGCATCAGGAATAATAGGATTTATAGGTGGTTTAGGCATGCGCGATATCTTTGTCTTTTGACAGACGTCACAGTGTCGTAATATTTTTTTAATAGTAGCATACATATTCGTCCACCAAGCCTCGGTGCGAAGAGCTGACCACGTTTTATATACACCGTAATGGCCCAACATCTCGTGATATGCTTCAACAAAATCAGACTGCATCACTTTAGGAACACAAACCAAATACGGTTCATCGGATGCTTGTCGATAATATAATACGTCTTGGTGGAGTGCAAATCGTTCTTGTAGTTTTAAATCAGATGATAGTGCCGATATAATATCATTTAATTTTTTATCATCGCGTTGCACTACTGCGATAGCTTTTATTTTTCTTAAAAACTCCGTGGGTAATTTAAGAGTTGATAAAATTTTGAATAATCTATTCTCCGGATAAGGGGGAGCTTTAGCACTGTCCCGTGATAGCGCGTCTGCTACAATATTATCTTTTCCCGAAATATGCTCAATAGAAAAATCAAATTCCTGTAAGGCTAGGACCCAACGCGCGATTCGCGGCGAGAGTAGTCGACAAGTGTTAATATACGTTAAAGCTTTATTATCAGTATGCACCGTAAAATGGCGACCCAATAGATATACACGCCATCGAGTTAACGCAAATACACACGCAAGAACTTCCTTTTCATTACTATGGTACCGCGTTTCTCTTGGAAGCAATAATCGACTCGCATAAGCTATCGTACGAGATTCACCATCCAACACTTGGTAAAGTTGTGCCCCTAAACCATATTCGCTTGCATCTATGTTGACATGCCATTCGGCTGACAAAACCGGATGATAAAGCATTGCTGCATTTATTAATAAATCCTTTATCTTCTCAAAAGCTTTCTCTTGTGGCTCTTTCCATTCCCATCGAACAGTTTTCCGCAATAATTTCGTTAGAGGCTCACAAAATGATGAAAACGATTTACAAAAGGATCTGTCAAAATTGCATAAGCCTAGAAAGCGCTGAAGTTGCTTAACGTTGTGTGGTCGCGTGTATTCTACAATAGCTTTTACCCTAGACGGATTTGGTTTAATACCATTACTGTTTATCACATATCCCAGAAAATTAAGTTGATCACAAAAAAAATCACATTTACTTATATTAAGGGTTAACCCAAATTCCTGGAGTCGTTTGAAAACCATTTTTAAATGTTTAATATGTTGCTCAAACGAATCAGATATTATAAGCATGTCATCAATATATCCGGTTAAAAATGAGTCAAACTCCGGACCGAAAATTTTACTGATCATGCGTATAAACGACGAAGCGGCCGTTGACAACCCAAAAGGCAGCACACGAAAAACATACGTTTTTGAATTAATCATAAACCCCGTATACTGTTTCGAATCCTCTGTCAATGGTATTTGCCAATACCCGCTCGTAGTGTCCAAACGCGAAAAATATTTTAATTCTGAAGAAGAATTCAATTTACATGTCTTAAAAATATCCTCTATTGACCTCGGACACTCGTGATCTTTTTTTTCCATCTGTTTATTAAGTCTGCGCGCTCTAAACAAATTCTAACTGAATTATCTTTTTTGATTACAACTCTTACGGGTGATATGTATGGAGTGCAGCACGTTCAATTATACCCAGATTTTCCATTTCCGTGACAGTTTTATTGACGGCTTCTCGATAAACTACGGGTATCGGATATGATTTAATAAAAAATGGATCGGTATTATGAAGTTTAATTTGATGATTATAATTTTTTACACGACCCGGTATATTTGAAAAAATCGATTCATATTCGCTAATCAATTCTTTAAACATATGTTTCTCATTAAAACTTAAATTTGTATTTTTTGTGACATTCTGTATATCAGTTGACTGCACAACTGCATTTGCTGTAACAAAACTCTCGTATTTTGATAAACTGCGCAAATTTAACGATTCTCTACCATTATATTCGTGAGAATAAATTTTTTCTGATAAAGCAATTTCTTCATCGCCTACCGAACAAAATATTTTATTTATATTTATATTTAAATCGATACGTACTTTGTATTTTCGTAAAAAATCAATTCCTAAAATAATTGAATAAACAAGATCGGGTATGACAAAAAATTCCTGGTAAAAAATATTATTTTCACACGAAAAACAAATTAAAGTTTGTAATTGTATTTTTCTTTGATTTTATTTAAACGCCCCTATAACTCTTATACCAGAACACGAAAAAGATGGAATGTCACTTTTAATTTTATCAGAAAAAGAGTTCCAAACGTCTTCAGAGACTGCGGAGATTTCACTTCCAGTGTCAATTAAAGCGGGAAAAGAATAACCATACAATTGCGTTTCGATAATCGGCGATCTATAATTAACAATTTCGTGCTTAAAGCTACACTCATCTTTAAGTAATTCATCTCTAACGTTATTATTAAAACTAAAGCCCCTTTTAAAACGTTTTCCACAGCCGGGCTCGTCTGTGGAAAGCAATCTAGTTTTCCGAATTTTCCTCACATTCAACATTATCCACAGTTTGCATACTAGATAAGTTTTTTGTCTGATTTTGTCCCGACATCTGTTGTGATTGTGATCCATGTCTAGAATTATTTTGTTTATAAAAATAATTTTTTTCCGATCTTGTTGAATGTGAAAAAGAATCCGTTGTACTAGCACTAAAATAATATTCGGCCTGTCTAAGACGCTGAAGGGCATCTTGAAATGTAACTGCGCCGATTAAAGTACAAGAAATACTTGGTGGAAAATGTCGCGCAATAATTTGAATTAATTGCGGGGGCGGATAGGCAGGTTCTAAATGTTTAGCCAAAACTACATAGGAATAAAATATTCTGTAAATGTAGCGCTGCCATTTATAGGGTAAATATCCGAATCTAATTTCAGTCTAATCTTAAGTTGCTGAGATTGACTCCAATATTGAGCTAAGAATTGATTTTTAAAATCTTGAAAATTAGTGAAAGTTGATAAGAAAGCGTTCATCCATATTTTTGCGTTTCCTCTAAAGAATAAATTAGTTATACTATCTACTAAAAACTGATCTACAGAAACATTTTGTGACTTATACATGGTTTCTATTTGATTTAAAAAATCTACAGGGTGTATATCCCCTTTATCATCAAAAATAGGAACGTCAGCGTTTGGTTTAAAAGTACAAATATTTTGAAAATGGCCCTGATTAGAATTGATATTATTATTATTTATATTTAACTTATGTACTTCATTAATAACACTAGAAATTATCGTTTTTAAATCTTCTTGCTGCATGGAACAGGTAGTCGGATTACAAAATGGCGGTGGCATGAAATTTGCCGTTGGCATATGAACTGCCGGCGGTGGCGGCACAAACATAAAGTTGCCTCCCTGATTCCCTTCGTTATTATTGCCTCTTATAAACTGTCCAGATAATACAGAATTTGGAAAGATCCTACCTTGTATCGTTGGACTTGTGTTCGGTACCGTCGTGGCTGTCGTAGTTGGTACGGGCCCCTGAGGCGTTGTGGGCGATGTTGTTATTGGATCCGAAAGAGATTGTCGACCTCGTAGATCCAAAAGTCGACTCTGGCCCTTACCACGAAGGTCATAGCTGTGAGTCCTTGGGGTGGCACCGTTATTCATCTCAGATAAATACACGTAGTCAGTAGTTCTTCTATTATCTATATAATACTTCGCCAGCCCCACGTTGGGCGCCAAGATGTAACAGGGGGAAATTTTGAGGGTCGGTTTGATGAAGTAAAAGGCGATAGTTTAAGTTCCTCGTGTATTTCTCTCTCTCTCTCTCTTGTAACTCTTTGCTATAATGGCTAGAAAATTATATAAATGATTTGCTGATCTTAAATATCATGGATAAATCTTACCTAGCACCAAGTTAATTCATACAAAATATAATAACTAAGAAGATGTATGGTGAAATTTTAAACCACAGGCTGCCGCCGTTATTTGCAAAAATTAAGAATAAATGTAGAAATAAATTTACTTAATTCGAAGATATTTTTTATCCGCATACGATTTATTTAATAAAATGGGTATAAGCGGCGACATCTACAAGACGGGTGTTTCAACGCATTGAATGTTAATAAGGTTTACTACATTTACACTAAAATATTCCCATGTAGTTCCGCAATTTAACAACAAATATTCAGTAACCTAATATATTCTGTTTCAAGAGATCGACCTCGCCAAAATTATCATTGTCATTCCGAGCCGTTTATAACGCCGTTTTTTTTTTTCGATTATACGGTATGCCGGGTGCGTCTCAAAAGTGGCTTACCCCTATGTTTTTTTTATTTTTTTAGATAAAAAACGAGATTTGGTATGTTGTATATGACATAAATTAGGATTGATTGACGTATTCAATTGCTTTTGGTCACTTCCTGTTTCACCGGAAATGACTACAACTGTTGATTATTAAATGACAATGGAAAATTACATTATGAATAGAATAACATATTATATGTCAATTTTTGACATTTTAGCTTACAAAAAAATCGTATTTTAAATTTCATTCTAGAGTGGTGGTTGTGTTAAAACAGTAATTTTTAATCAAGGAGCCTTGGAAAAATAGATTTGATCATCTAATGTTTTTCGTGTCTTGTCGTGGCCCCTTTAAAAGATGCCCTAATAGTTTTTTAATCAAAACTCATTTTTTTTCAAATGGAAGAAGGGTGGCTCATTAGCAAATATGGAAAAAGCATTTTTTGCGAATAATTTGGTGCCACACACTTGGTATTTCGAGTCATATTGTCGTTATGAACAGCATGTTACAATTTCAAATAAACCATATGCGAAAATGTCACAAGTTGAAATTTGATACCTATGTCATTCTATTCAGAGTGTCATCTTATATCGAATTATTTAAAAAAATAACGAAGGTGTCATTTAAAAATTAAAAGTTGTAGTTATTTCCAGTGAAACAGGAAGTGACCAAAAACAATTGAATACGTCAATCAATCCTAATTTATGTCATATATTAATATACCAAATCTCGTTTTTTTTATCTGAAAATATAAAAAAGTTATAGGGGGTATCCCACTTTTGAGACCCACCCGGTATATCTCCATTTAACCAAAATTAAGTTGAAACTTTGAATAAGAAGATTAAGGAAGGGGCATATCAAAAATCTTAGGTACACCGCGATGGGCCTCAAATATGGCCGACTTAAATTCCGGTTTATCAGTGCCGTTCCAATTTTATTTAAAAAATGTAAAACTATGATGTAGGGTAGACGTGGGGTAGATTCAATAATTTGTTATTTTATTTTACGTTGTGAATAAATGTTGGTAGTTATTAAAATTGTTATAAAAATATATAATTGTAATAAAAATAGATAAGTTATAATAAGTATTTATTAACACAAACATTCGATACGCTACTGAAGCAGGTAAATCAAATTAACGTATCAAAATTCTTTGACATCTGATCTTTGACAAGTAGTAAATAAAAGCTAAAATGCAAGAAAATATATAATTTAGTTAATTTAAGTGAATTTCATAAATGATCGGTTTACTACACGTATGTATATTATATAGTCACTTACTAGCGAAAAGTTGTTCCATTATTTCACTCAATTTTTGCCGAGATCTACCGCACGCTACACAACCAACTATTTTAGGCGTCTTTTCGATAAATCGCGATAATGTCACTGTTAATTTAAGTTCTGCCACAATTTCCATCTAGATTTACTACCTTTATACAACTATCAGTGGTAGAATAAATAATAAATAACATAAAATAAGCTCCGTAAAGACTGACAAATCCACAAAATTTCAAATCAAATTCAAATGTGTCAAATGAATCGTCAAACAGAACTGTCAAGGATCCCCACCCTAGAGAGCTTTTATGGTGGCTTTTCCGCCCACCATGCATGAATACATGGATAGCATTATGCTCCTTCCTTAGTCTTCTTGTTCAAAGATTTGAAATTTGGTGATAAAAATAGCATGTTTGACACTCTTTGAGGTATGTAGGGACAAAATTTGAACCACAAATGTTTTAACTCTAGATGTACGGTGGACTAAAATGTGACCCACCTGATCTAATGCATTTTTGGTAAGCTACGTCGGTTTATTGTATGTCCCGCGTTACAGGTTGACGCTACTAGGCGCTCCTATACTGAAATAATACGTTTATTCAATAAATGTCGCGGTAGACTTTGGAATCGTTTGTTTAGCTTAGTTATTCGTTTACGTTTTGTATCGGCAATCGCTAGATTTTTTTGGAGTATTTTGCCGCAAAGAGTTAAAAAATCGTTATTGTGCTTTATCTACCATATAAAATCTTGTATGTGAAAGGGGCATAATTCATAATGTCTTCTGAACCTGCCGTAACATTATGAACATATCGTGACGTTATAAAATCACATTTATTGTATCTCTTCATGTTGTTCTGTGCAGCAGTACTAGCCTCGCGCAGCAGTGGCCTATTGTCTTTATTTGGTCCACCCAACAGTACTTGCTTTTCTCTCCACAATTAGTTTTACCAGGCCATTGATGGTCCTGGATTTGTGACCAAAGTATCTTAAATAAGATTGATTTATAGATGTTGACAGTCTAGATTCGATATTCACGTGTTCGATAATTGAAATGTATGTACGATGAGCTGTATCGGCACCGACGTTGTTATTTCGTCGGTGCCGGCTGTATCAGTAACTCCTAAAAGATATCTAACATAAACCTATCTTTTAGGAGTTATTGGCTGTATACGGTGTTCGCTAGCATCCGTCTATAACACCACATTTTAAAAGCATCGATTTTACGTCGCATTAACAACTTCAACGTCCAGGTCTCCGAGGCATAAGTGACATTGGAAAAAATTAGGGCTCTTAGTAGTCTTACTTTGTTGCTGATTGAAACGGCCGAATCTTTCCATATTTTATCGAGTATTTGATTATGGAATTGCGTGCTATACACAGTCCTCTCTTGATTTCTTGTAATAATTTGTCGTAACATAATATCTAGAGACAACTCGCGTTCGCATGTTATATCATTTATTTAAAATTGATAAAACATTACATTTTATGAAGCTCCAATTGAGAGCCTCGATAGCTAATGATAATTACACATACATAAATAATTTTTATCCTCCATTGTGCCTATGTTCTATTTTTAGGTGTACTATGCTGCATTAAACTTCCGAGACGTTATGTCAGCTACAGGAAGAATCAATGTGGATACAATTACCAGAGACAGGAGGGAACAGGAATGCGTACAAGGTTTCGAATTTAGTGGCCGTTTACTAAAGTAAGTTAACACGCAACAATATAGAAAGTTCTATACAAAGTGATATTTTATTTCTGGTTGTCGTTAAAATACGAAATTTGGATATAATATAGTCGTTCGTCAAAATACACATTCTCGATAAGTTAAATATCACTTCCGGTTTAACTGGTTAAGTGTGCTAATGCAAAACATTTTAAATAGTACCATGTACATGTTATATATTTTATATTATATAAACAAATTTTCCTAAAACATTATTTTTCAGTCAGAACCATGTCTCCTAAATATTTTGTTTTTGACTTATGTCAGCACATGCCTTGGTTAATTTTTAAGAACAAAATGAACCTGCCACAAACATTTTGCAATTTTTTCAATTATTGTTACTTTTTGTTGTTATTTTTCAATATCACGAGGTGGCTCTGGGACAGGTGCCATCGCAAAAAGATCTGACCACTTTGCTCGTCTAATCTCCTTATTATACTCAGTTAACGTCTCGGTGTAAAGCCGGCATTCGCCGCTGGGTTTGGCTTTGTTGAAGAGTCGTCGGACCTCCGATCTAAGATTGGCCAGCTTCTTGTCCCACCAGGGCTTGTTACTTGATTTAACTTAGAACAATCTTCGGATTGCCACGGGGTTTTCAATAGAACACTGTCTCCTCAACAAATACCTCAATATATTAAAGCTATCTTAAAGAAACAACGACGAATGCAGATTACCTGGAGAAAATGGGGAAACACCAGAGCATCCCATCACTCAGTGCTTCGAGAAGATAACTATTTGTGCTCTGAAATTTTATACGACTGATTTCGGAATGGAGAACTACCCCCTGTAAAACCGTCTCAGATACTAGCTTTTGAAAAAAAAGCCCTCTGAAACTGTATGATGAGTGATGATTCAAGAAAGGGGGACACAATAGGTATATAAATTCGCGTTGACTAGATTTCCCTCCCATACCATTCTACATCCTATATTCTGGTAGATTCTTACGAATTTGAATATGTTTCTTGGTGATCTCGTGCCATATTTAGAAATCTACATAGAATCACCCAGCTCGCTTCTCTCTATAAAATTATTTGGGCAGGCAGTAGAATGTAGAATGAGTAAGAGGGAGGGTTAATCACCGCAACTTTAAAGATCTATTGTATCCCCCTTTGTTGAGTTATATTTCTCTAACTCATCATACATCCTGTTGTAGGGATAACAGGGTATTTCCCAACCTCCTCTGACAACAGGCGTTCATCCTCCGAGAAGTGGTTATCTACCTCCTACGAGAATATGCACCCTTCCACTGTTGGGGTTTAGCCATCCGAGCCCATCACAGTAGGGGGCACCTTGTTTCCGGCTGAGGTACCCGTGAGGTGGAGGCTGGATCTGTCTCCATTTTCTCCACCTCTTTAACTTGGTCTCTCCTCAGATCTGATAGTTTTGTCCCGAATATCTAATAGAGGATATAATCTCCCTCTTTCTCTATTGTCTCCTTGGATTTGAAGTCAATTACACCGCTGGGGTTGAGCATGCAGTAAGTCGAGTAGCATTTCCATAACTTTTGATGATGGGGAATAAAAGGCACTAGTAACAGCTATGCACACTTGTTGTAATTTCCGCAACTTATTTTTGTTGTTTACTAGTTGGCTTACTTGCCACAAGGCAAATGCACCAAAAATGTCTGATGGCTATCACATATAACCAGTACATACTTTTGGAATTTAATTCCCAGTTTCAGCCACAAACTCTGCGACATGACCAGAGAGCACCTTCTTTGTATTTTCTTCCAATGGAAATTCAAGGATAATTTTCTTATCCAGAGATAACTCTAGATAACTCGCAAATGCAATAGTCCTACCTACAAGAATGGTGGTTTCAATTTGTCTGTTTGTCTATTTTTCTTTCCCTGGTAGTAGATAAGTAATGGTCTCGTAACAATTTTTGCAAAGAGACATTTTTTAAGCCAAAAAGTTGTGGAAATGTATATTTTATTACTGGTACCGCAAAGGTAAAAATATGTAGTTGGCACCCCTACAAGTAGGAGTCATATTGACAACGAAATCAAATTTCTAATACCAAAAAAAACATCCAGACACCAATTCTCATTCAAATATCGACGCGACGTTAGTTCAGAAATTATTTGAAAAAAATCATAATAAGAATGAAACTTCTACCCCGTATCTCCGAAACGAAGCATTTTAGGACATAAATGTATTACTTATTGTTATCTGCAGAATATGGTGCCAAAGTTTCCCAAATACAATTCGGACCACCCTGTATATAAAGAAAAGTCTTAATTTCAGTGAATTTTTATGAGATCAAGATATGTATTCTCATAAAATACCGTGCTTTTATGTTAACTGTGAACATAGGGCTTAACACAACTGACTAACCAAACTGAATTAGCAAAATAGCATTGCATTGGATTTGAGTGAATAGTATGCAATTACAACTACAAATATTTTTGTTTTAAAACATTTTTTTGTTTAGCTAAAACTAGTTATAGCTCAAAAAATTACCAAAAATCCTAAATTTCGATGAAGAAAAATATTTTGAATTTTAATTCATGTCTACTAATTTTTCGGCGGAAAAACAGTATTGTTTATCGGTATTTCATCAATTGATGATAAAAGGTTGGTTATGGACTGACAACGGGGGCATGATTTTCAAATTACAATGATTGACGCCTATGTTCACAGTTAAAATAAAAGCACTGTATGATTAAGTGCATATTTTTTGTTTCAGTGGAAAAAGAGTAATGGGCATGGTAACAAAAGGCGCATGTGCGTCTTACGTTAAAGCTGAAAAATCGCTTTTATTTGAAATTCCCGAATCGTGGACAATGCAAGAAGCGGCCACGGTTACAGTTGTTTATTCAACCGCCCTCTATGGTTTAATTGTGGTAATCAATCTTCTTCGTGCATTTCTAATTACGAAATTCCATACATTTTTTTTTTATTTTCAGATAGCACGACTAAAACCTACGGATTCTGTATTGATTCACTCCGGAACTGGAGGTGTTGGCCAGGCTGCAATAAATCTTGCCCTAGGAAAGGGATGTACGGTATATACCACAGTCGGTACGCCAGAAAAACGCGAATTACTAAAGAAGTTGCATCCAGAGTTAACAGGTAATTGTAATATAGATATTCAAAATACACTTAATATAGTATATTCTAGTATATGATGCTAGTAAGTAGAGCTCATACGTATATGAGGCAGAGTCAAGTGTAAGTCAAAGTGTTGTCATCCAGGATATTAGTAATGATGGTGCATAGGATATTAGTAGTGATGGTTCACTTTGTCTGTGTCTTTCTTTGTCCTCTTTAAGAATGGAAAATTTGATCTTAATATCCTTGATTGAGGGATAATAATAGAACTATTTTGGGTAATGGTTTAAATAATACCAATTAGTGTTGCACAAAAGTCTTGAAAAAGTCTTGCAAGACCAAGACTTTTGCAAGAAATGCAAGACAAGACTTTCAAAATTTCTTAAAGACAAGACATTAATATGCAAGAAATTTCAAGAGTCTTGCAAGATTTTTTAAATTCAAGATTTCTTGAAAATTAGAAATGATAAATTTTTTTAAGTGATAATTAGGTCTCTGCGCAAATTATGCCGGGTTTATACAACATTTATATAGTCGTAATCACAATCATAGTCATATAAAAGTTAAACTATCCACTTCTTATAAACCTGTTGACATCTACCATGAACTTACCCTTTAATTATGTTACCCAACTTCACTGATATAAAAATTATGATTATGAAAATGTTCTATAAACGCACATTAAAACTGCGTTGTGATTATGACGATGATTAAAACTGTGATTATGATTACGACTTATGCAAATGTTGTATAAACCCGGCATTAATATTGACCAGTGTTCATTTTTTTCATAGCCAGTGTTTGAGAGTTAAGAATGAAATAAAATAAAGTCGAGGCAACAAACCGTATATTGGTAATTGGCATTATACAGAAAACTAGCGTGTACCCAGGACTTTCGTTCGCGTCGAATTAATCATTTGTAATGGTGATGATAAAGCAAAGCAAGAATTTCAATTAACATTCAAACGATAAAATTTTCTCACATTTTTGTCAGCATGGGAAAAAACAATCCAGAAACCCCTCCTTATCGAACCTCTACACCCCACAGTCATTCCGTTTGCCAAAAGTCAGCTTTAAACGTCAAGCAGTTTATGCAGAATGGTGATTACTTAATGGTCATATTTTATGAAACAGCCTGTATACATTTTTAAAAGCTCTTAAATTATGTAATACAACAAAATAAAATATACGTGTTTAAGAGTTTTTCCGAAAAACTCACCGGTTTTTAAATAAAGAATATTCTAATATTTGAGGGGTGGTTTCACCCCCTTAGAAATCGAGTTTCGAAAAATTCCTTCTTATCGAACCTCTACACCCTAAAGTCAATCCGTTTTCCAAAAATTAGCTTTTTACGTCAAACGCTTTAAGCAGGATCGTGATTAATCAATGACCAGATTTTTCGAAACACCCTGTATATATTTTTAAAAAATTTTAAAATATGTGGAAAAACAAAATAAAATATACGTGTTTAAGCGTTTTTTCGAAAACTTGACCGTTTTTTAAATAAAAAATATTTTAATATTTGAGGGGTGGTTTCGCCCCCTTGGAACTGGAATTTCGAAAAAGTCTTTCCTATCGAACCTCTACACCCTAGAATCAACCTGTATGCCACAATTGAAAATCAGGAAATTAAGAGACAACAAACGGCAACATTGTAGAGTATGCTAGTTGACTAGTGGGACGCAGAAGCTAGTCTAACTCCCAACGGGTATAGAAATCCTATTTTAAATATCCTCGAAGTGTCCTTAGCCCAAACCATTTAGATTCCTATTAAAATACTTTTAATGAGCAGGTTATGTTTAAAAGCCTGTATATATTTGAAATTAATTTATTTTATCAAAAATGTACAATCTTACTTTATAACATTTGAATTAACTTTTTAGACGATCACATTTTCAACTCAAGAGACACTAGCTTCGAGCAACAAGTCATGAGAGCCACGAAAGGAAGAGGAGTGGATATCGTTCTAAATTCTCTAGCCGAGGAAAAGCTTTTAGCATCAGTTCGCTGCTTGGCCCAAGGCGGAAGGTTTCTGGAAATCGGAAAATTCGATTTGGGAAATAACAATCCGTTACAGCTCCAGTTGCTAAAGAAAAATGCCAGTTTCCACGGCAAGTAGTGTTGAATGATATATATTTTTTCCAATTTTTTTCCTATACAGAGTGTCCCAGAAATAAGTGCAAGTATTTTAACTGGTAGTATAGTTCAACCCCAGAAACACCCCTATGAGGTTTTTTCCGCGAAAAAAAAATTTTGAAAATTCGAAATTTTTTGATTTTTTTTAATTTTTAGTTAAAAAACATAATTTCTTGATAATTTGGCAACATAGGTATAGTGGTTCTAAAAATTTTATCAAAAAATATTTTTTTTTGGAAATTTTCAAAGTATAATAACTCCGTTATTTTGGACTTATTTGAACGATAAAGAGAAAATATGTTTCTTTTATCGAGATCTACCACCCGTTAAAATACTTGGACTGATTTCTGGGACACCCTGTATAATATAAAATTTTTAATATTTTTTTTCTCAAATACGGTTAATGCTAAGTATAGAGTGTTTGATATAAAAATTCATAATTTTTTATAGAAAATTTAAATATGTTATAAAAATGAGATGGGGGGTACCCATTTAAAATATAAAATTTTGTTTCTGTCAACTTCCGGTATTTCTAAAAGTGCCGCCATATTGAAAATATTTTTAGTCCATAGATCTTATTGTAAATCAATGATGTGCAAAAAATCTCCGGTCCAAATATTGTAAAGTACGTCTGATGCTGGATCTGTGTCTATGAAAGGAATGCGGACAAAAAACATTTAAATAAAGAGCAATATATTTTATACATCGACTTAACAAGTACGTCACCGCAAATCGCTCCGCCCACTCATTTTATTGGCTACTTGCAAATTTGTCGAATTTTTATTGATGGGACGCGTCGTCTAATTTTTTACGAAAAACATCGAGAGAATATCGTTTCTCCTCTCACAGATACCCCGTAGCTACAGAACGGACAGACGTACTGTAGTTCTCTAGAAACTTCTAATGCACGCTCTCATGCCTGGAACACCCTGCATATGAAATGTATTCATATGGTACAATTATTTTAGGAATTATGCTGGATGCGCTTATAACACAAAGAAATATGATCAAGCATACGCTTGTTAAGCTAATATTGGATTCCTTAAGTAAAGGTCTACTAAAACCACTGGACGCAACCATATTTGAAAAGGATCAAGCTGAAGAAGCTTTTAGATATATGGGCACCGGAAAACACACCGGAAAGGTCTTGATTAACATCCGGCAAGAAGAAGATCTCGTAGTAGAGCCTTCAAGAGTACCGTATCCCTGCGTACCTAGGTAAGGATTCTACTAATAGTCTAAGAGCTGACTATACATGGCTAATTTTTTACTTGAAGTATCCTTTTGTGTAGCCATTATGAAATAGTCATGTCTGCCAGCGCGATCCCGGGGCTTAAAGCGGAGGCGGCCAATCGAAAGGGTGAAATTTTGACACTAAAAATATTATAAGATACATGAGTAAAAATTGTCAAAATAGCTTTTATTTATTATTAAGAAACGTGGAAAATTGTTGGCAGACATTTTTCTAGTCGCTAAAATGCCGGCAGACAATGCGAAAGAGGCATGAAATTTTGAATAAAAAATATGTCTCACATGCATGCCGATTTGTGGAATGTCATATTTATTCATTTTAAAAGCCGTATGCAAAAGGACAAACAAAAAGATCGTGGCTAAATCAGCGGCACACAGTTATCAAAAGCGCGATATTAGTCTAGCGCTTTCAAGGAACGCCCCCCGCCTTGAAAATCGTGCATTTTTTAAAAAATTTCCTTTATATTTTAGAAAACTTTTGTACAACTGCCTGTTCACCGCAAATTTACCCACGGTATAATTTTTTAACCTACCATGCTTACGGCTTTACTTTATGGTTACGACAGACAACGCGAAAGAGGCATGAAATTTTAAAAATTATTAAAAAATTAAATTTGAAGAATGAAAAAAATTATGGCATATTTGCATGCCGATTGGTGAAACGTCATATTTATTTATTTTAAAAGCCATATGCAAAAGGGCAGACAAAAAGATCGTGGCTCAATCAGCTGCAGACAGTTATCAAATGCGCGATATTGCTCTAGCGCTTTATTCAGGGAACTCTGGCCGCCTCATCTATTTAAGTATAGATAAATCATATAATGTACGATTGTATTATAAATGTATTTTTTTATTATTTCAATAACGATTTTTTTGTCTGCCCTTTTGCATACGGCTTTTAAAATTAATTTACAATAAACGTAACATTCCACTAACCGACATGCATGTATGCGATGATTTTCTTTTGTCAAAATTCTATGCCTCTGTCGCGTTGTCTGCCGGCATTTCAGCCACGAGAAAAATGTCTGTCAACAATTTACACGTTTCCTAATAATAAATAAAAGCTATTTGGCAATTATAACTCGTGTACCTTATAATATTTTTAGTGTCAAAATTTCACCCTTTCGATTGGCCGCCCCCGCTTTAAGCCCCGGGATCGCGCTGGCAGACATGACTATTTCACAATGGCTACACAAAAGGATACTTCACACAAAAAATTAGCCATGTAACGATGATAAGGTTTTTTATGTAGCCAGCTCTCGGTCTATAAGATAAGATGCAAGTTCAATCACAACACAACTCTAAAAAAAACTCGGTTATTTTCAATTTATTTTAAAAATGGTAAAGATAAAAAATGTTTCTTTTGACTAGATCTACCACTCCTTAAAATATCTGCACTTATTTCTTGGACACCCTGTATATAATATAATATTATATTTAATTTGAAATTGGCTTTGTAGATACTACTGTAATAGCGACAAGAGTTATATCATCTGCGGAGGTTTGGGAGGCTTTGGACTAGAGTTGGCTGATTGGTTGGTATTAAGAGGTTGCAAAAAATTGGTTCTAACGTCTAGATCCGGAATCACAACAGGCTATCAAGGTTACAGAATAGGGTAAGTAATTAATTTATTTTAATACTAATTAAAATATAATATATTGAATAATATAATTAAATAATATGAAATTTAAACAGAGTATGGAGATCCTACGGATGCACGGTGCGGGTTGCTACTGATGACATTACAACTGAAAGCGGATGCATAGATTTGATCAAAAAAGCTAACGAATTGGGACCAGTCCATGCCGTTTTCAATTTGGCCGTGGTGTTGCAAGACGCCATTTTGGCAAATCAGACCGAAGAAATGTTCAAGACGAGCTTTGCACCAAAAGCCGGAGCAGCTCACCACTTAGATATTGTCACCCGCAAATACTGTCCAGAACTCAGGTACAAGCATATTTTAGTATACAGGGTGTTTAAAAAAACATGTGCCATCTCTCGTGGGGATATTCCTAAAGTAAAAATAAGATTTATTTTTTATTTCAACATAGGTCCGATTCTGCTTTGTTTCGTAGCTACAGGGTGATAAAGTCTTAATAAATTTTCGACTTATTATAATTTTCTTCCAAGTACTTTTAGTGATTCTAATGAAATTTTGAGGGTAAAAGTTACTATAAGTGCTACATATTTTAATGCTAAAAAAGTGTCGATAAATTCACCAGGGACGTGTATATGGGTTATCACTGGGATATTTTCCAAAAAAAAACAGGTGTGCCAATTACTTTTTTCTTTTGATATCGAAATTTCGTAGGCCGTTTAAAAATTAAAATATTAAAATAAAATTAATTAAAAAAAATAAAGTTAAAAATGAAAGTAAAATTAATAAATTTTATATTTTACCTAATTTTTTATTAAATATTATTACTATTAGTTATTATTACTATTAGTCCAACCTACGGCAATTTAAAATAAAAAAATAACGATATTTAAAATAATTATTCCAAAAAACCTAATTTTAAAAAGTTTTAACATCCTGTAGCTCGAAAACTATGCATTTCTAAAAAATGTCTATACCTATGTGGCGGATTCATCTCTCCAAAAAATCCTATATGGGTATTTCAACTTCTGACAGATAGTTTCCGTTTGGAATTAACGCAGAAGTGTTTACAAAAAATAACTAATTTATCAAAATAAAAACATTAAATCGCCACAATACACCAAAACACTTTTACTTTTACACTGGACGCGCGTTTCGCTAACCATGTTAGCATCATCAGCAGATGATTATAAACGCATTATATAAACTCATATTTAGTTTTTTTAATAAACTCATATTTAGTTTATAATCATCTGCTGATGATGCTAACATGATTAGCGAAACGCGCGTCCAGTGTAAAAGTAAAAGTGTTTTGGTGTATTGTGGTGATTTAGTGTTTTTATTTTGCTGTGTAACACCAAAGGTTCCAACCCTCAACTGTAACTAATTTATTTTGTAGATTTTCTTGCAGTGCCGAAATACTCATATAGGTTTTTTTTGGAGATATACATTTCTATACCCATGTTTAGAGGATTTTTTTTTGTATTTTTAGCCGACCATACCAACAGGTATGGTCGGCTAAAAATACAGTTAATAAAAAAATAAAAAGTACAGTTAATAAAATAATTAAAAAAAAAGTTTTTTTAATTTCACTCAAAATGAGTTATTTGGGTCATAAATGACGTAAATACAAAATATTTTCATGGGGTCTGTCTGTCTGTCTGTCCATCTGTCTGTAACAAGATAACTCAAAAACCGCTAAACCGATTTTAACCAAATTTGGTACAAAAATACTGTGGCACCCGAGAATCTGGCCATTAACTTTTGGTGGGGGTGGGGGGTTTGTAAGAGGGTATGGGAGAGGGTTAAAAATTTTAAAAAATCGTAACTCCAAAATTACAGTAGCTAGCGAAACGCGGTTTTCAATTTTAGATTAGGAATAATATTTGCAACAAAATTTGAAATAACATCAAAATCAGTCAAAGTCGCAGTTTTTGAGATATTCCGTGTTTCCGTAGTCCGTTTTTGAGAAAATCCGTGTGGAGAACTCCAAACTCCCATCGGATGCGACCCCAGGGGGCGGATAGGGGAAATAACCGCGGACCAATAACGCCACGAATGTTTGGGAGTGATTCATCGGTCGCTACCATGTGAATTAATCTGTTCAAGGTCACATAAAACTTAATTCCAGTGCCGTGTGTGTTTCAAGTCATATAATAATCAATATATAATCTGTTGTAATTTGTTGTTTTAACTGTCAAAATCTTGTCAAAACCTTTGAATAAGAAGACTAAGGAAGGAGCATAATGCTATCCATGTATTCATGCATGGTGGGCTGAAAAAGCACCATAAAAGCACTCTATGGTGGGGATCCTTGACAGTTCTGTTTAACGATTCATTTGACACATTTGAATTTGATTTGAAATTTTGTGGATTTGTCAGTCTTTACGGAGCTTATTTTATGTTATTTATTATTTATTCTATTACTGATAGTTGTATAAAAGTAGTAAATCTAGATGGAAATTGTGGCAGAACTTAAATTTACAGTGACACTATCGCGATTTATCGAAAAAGACTCTAAAATAGTTAGTTGTGTAGCGTGCGGTAGATCTCGGCAAAAATTGAGTGACATAATGGAACAACTTTTCGCTAGTAAGTGACTATATAATATACATACGTGTAGTAAACTGATCATTTATGAAATTCACTTAAATTAACTAAATTATATATTTTTCTTGCATTTTAGCTTTTATTTACTACTTGTCAAAGATCAGATGTCAAAGAATTTAGATACGTTAATTTGACTTACCTGCTTCAGTAGCGTATCGGATGTTTGTGTTAATAAATACTTATTATAACTTATCTATTTTTATTAGAATTATATATTTTTATAACAATTTTAATAACTACCAACATTTATTCACACCGTAAAATAAAACAACAAATTATTGAGTCTACCCCACGTCTACCCTACATCATAGTTTTACATTTTTAAATAAAATTAGAACGACACTGATAAACCGGAATTTAAGTCGGCCATATTTGAGGCCCATCGCGGTGTACCTAAGATTTTGATATGCTCCTTCCTTAGTCTTCTTATTCAAAGGTCAAAACATATATTTGGTTATAAATATAAACTGGAATGCCCCATTGGTCGCACTGCAAGCACACCAATGGACTGACGCATAAAAACGAATCAATCAAAGAAACGCGTTATAGTATCGTCTTTGTCATTCACGCTAACATTTTAGAATAAGTAGGAGGAGCGCAGGTAGATGATTAGACCGGGCCTTTAAAAACCTACGTCTGTGGTAAAAATTTTCGTTTTTAATGTAAAAATGATAGCGCGCGTGTCGATTCTAACTTCATCAAGAAATTAATCACTCCCAAACATTCGTGGCGTTTACTATACCATCTTTTTATTAATATATTTTAGTATGGGCGGCTATGCACGTGCCTCCCGGTGCCAATTTTTTCATGAGGAATCAATGAGTACTTATTTAAAATGTTCGCAAGTTAATGATATTATTTTTTTTAAAGGTTGCTATTAGCCTAACAAGGCTATTAGCCTTGGATCAAGGCAAATTAATAAAATTGCGTTTATCTCATCAGGGAGGAACTTTTAATAGGCATTAAACTGCTTACTCTATTTCGCTAACTAGAGAAAAAAAGTCAGTGGCGTACATCCTTTTTTCAGAAAAATATTCCAGTGATAACCCATATGCACGTCCCTGGTGAATATGTCGACACTTTTTTAGCTTTAAAATATGTCGCATTTATAGTAACTTTCACTCTCGAAATTTCATTCAAAACGCTAAAAGTATTTGGAAGAAATGTATAATAAATCGAGAAAATATTAAGACTTTAACACCCAGAAACTACGAAACAAAGTAGAATCGGACCACTGTATTTCCTGATTATACAGGGTGTTTCAAAAAACCTGCGCCATCTCTCGTCGGGAGATTCCTCACGTAAAAATAGGATTTATTTGTTATGTAATCAACATAGTTCCGACTCTGCTTTATTTCGTAGGGTTGTCTTCATTTTTCTTCGATTTATTATTATCTATATTAATACATATATAAAATCCTTAAGTGACTGACATACTGATTAATCACGATCCTGCTCAAACCACTCAACGTAAGAAGCTCAATTTTGGCATACAGGTTGATTCTAAGGTGTAGAGGTTCGATAAGAAGGGATTTTTCGAAATTCCAGTTCCAAGAGGGTGAAGCCACCCCTCAAATATTACAATATTTTTTATTTAAAAAGCGGCCAAGTTCCCGAAAAAACGCTTAAACACGTATATTTTATTTTGTTTTTTACGTATTTTAAGATTTTTTAAAAATGTATACAAGGTGTTTCAAAAAATCTGGTCATTGATTAATCACGATCCTGCTTAAAGCGCTTAACGTAAAAAGCTGATTTTTGGAAAACAGATTGACTTTAGGGTGTAGAAGTTCGATAAGAAGGGAATTTTTCGAAACTGCACCGCCACGAAATTCGATGCTGCTCGAAGCAATTCCAAAAAACAACTAGTATGGATCAGCGTTGTTACAAGGGCAAAAATTTTTGTACTATAAATGGTGTCGAAATTGTACTTTTTTAAGTGGGATTGTACATTTTTGGTGCAAAAATGTGGGGTCATGTGATCTCTCTATTTACAGTACTTCTGTCCGTTCTGTAGCTACGGGGTATCCGTGAGAGGGGAAACGATATTCTCTCGATGTTTTTCGTAAAAAAATAGACGACGCGTCCCATCAATAAAAATTCAACAAATTTGCAAGTAGCCAATAAAATGAGTGGGCGGAGCGATTTGCGGTGACGCACTCGTCAAATCGACGTATAAAATATATTGCTGTTTATTTAAATGTTTTTCGTCCGCATTCCTTTCATAGACACAGATCCAGCAGAAGTACTGTACCTTTTTACCAAGTTTTTGGTACGGGTGCATCCACACTATCCTAAAAACAGCGGAACGGCGTATTGGCTTAACGACCTTGAATCGATTTCCTGCAATTCTATTGGCTGAAATTTTTGCCAGGTGAATTTGACAGATAAAATTTCTGACAGATGAATTTTTTCAGCCAATAGAATTGCTGGAAATCGATTCAAGGTCGTTACGCCGATGGCGCCGCCGCCGATCCACTTTTTTTAAGGATAATGTGGATGCACCCTCACAGAATTATACACCATATGCTAACCTCCTTTCACGCAGTTGAGCAGCTCTGAACTGTTTAAGAACGCGATACTCTCCCTCCATTCAATTGAGTCATAAAGTTCAGAACTGGTTCCGCGCCATATGGAGGCACCAGGCTATCTCGCACAGCCCCTCTCAGAACCGTTCTGAGCAGCCCAGGGCGTAAAGCTCTGGAATTTTAAATCGGAACTCTGGCTCGCAAATGGAGGACAGCAATACAGAAGCTACAAAGAGCGTTGAATAGCATTGGTTAAATGGGAACTAATTGCGTGACGTCACGTTTGACATCGGGACACAATAGATCTCTAAGGTCGCAGTGATTAGCCCCCCTCCTAGTCACCGCACGGATATCAAACTTACGTTTGACATCCGTGCGGCTTGAACAGCGGATATCAAACTTACGTTTGACATCCGTGCGGCTTGAACAGCATTTCAAGTGATGTATAATTTTGTGCCTCTGCTCCTAGCAACCTGCATTTCAAATACACGCATCGCGTATCACCGTTCGTCTAAAAATATGTACGTGGGTTTAAGTTTGGGTTAGTTTGTGTTTGAGAAGTAAGAATTGTACATTTTTTCTTGCAATTTTACCTATGTACTCCTTGCCTATCAAATGTACCCAAAATAGTACAATTGTACCTATTGTAACAACACTGGTATGGATGGAAAACATGTTATTTCGACAACCCTCGATACAGGCGGGATACAATGGACAACGGAGTGGGGTATGCGCTACGGCGCGGCGCGGCGCGGCATGTTGGGCTTACAACAGCTTAAAAATAATAGGATATAAAAGAAGCAGCTTTTTTGAAACAGTTGCGGGCAGGGCCATGTAAGTGAAATATTCCAAATGGTTCAGCAAAAGTTTCCCAATTATGACGGGTGATGGCGCTGATCGTCAAGATTTTTGGACAGGGATTTTGCTTACCGATAATACGACGTGAGCTACGACCGGACCAGGACCAATCAGAATGATCAGTCTTTCTTGGACATTTGCCGCGGAAGTGTGTGTTAATTTCTGTTGTGATAAGTGTGGTTGTGTTTGCAGTTTGATTTTTCGGTTTTGATATTATGTTAAAATTAATTTTGAAGTATTGTATCACCTGTTTTTATGTAATAGTACTTTTTTAGTTCTATGATCTGATATGTTATGATTTGTTAATGTTTGTTTAACAATGTTATACCAAAGAGGTTATACTTAATATATCAATTTGCATAGCCTAACTTTTTATCAATAAACTTTGTAGATTTTCAGATTATTTAATTCCTTTTGTTTCCGTTTGTAATTTTATTTTTAAGACATATTATGTGATTGTTTCAGATAATATGTTTTAAAAATAAAATTGCAAATAGCGAATAAAAACCGCACCCCTTTGGCTAACCTGTAAATGTCAGCTTTGTCGAGAGATGGCGTTACGAAAATGGAACCGATTTATTACAAGGAACTTGGGCTTCTTTTTCGTTAGTATATTCTGTGGTTGCGGGTATAGCGCCTGGCGGTCGAGATAACAGGAGTGGGAAAGGAACGCTGCTGCATCGGTCGATTGTCGATGGAGGCTCGCAACGGGTTGGAGAATAACGCATCAGTTGTTTTAGCTACGTTGTTTTTTAACCTGTTACGAGCATAACAGAGCGGCGGTCGAGATAATCGGAGTGGGAAAGTAACGCTGCTGCATCGGTCGATTGTCGATGGAGGTTCGAAACAGGTTGGAGAATAACGCATCAGTTGATTTAGATACATTGTTTTTCAACCTGTTACGTCTCAGTTTATAATCATCTGCTGATGATGCTAACATGGTTAGCGAAACGCGCGTCCAGTGTAAAAGTAAAAGTGTTTTGGTGTATTGTGGTGATTTAGTGTTTTTATTTTGCTGTGTAACACCAAAGGTTCCAACCCTCAACTGTAATCTGTTACGTAACATAACGGGCGGAGGTCGAGATATTATGGCGCTGTATGTTTCAGTACTTGGTTATTAAGTTTTAATATTTAGGTATTTATTTATTCTGAAAAATTTTCAGAATAATATTTTAAGATTTTTTAAAAATGTATACAGGGTGTTTTGAAAAATCTGGTCATTGATTAATCACGATTCTGCTTAAAGCCCTTGACGTAAAAAGCTGATTTTTGGAAAACGGATTGACTTTAGGGTGTAGAGGTTCGATAGAAGGGATTTTTCGAAACTCAAATTCTAAGGGGGTGAAACCACCCTCAAATATTAGAATATTTTTTATTTAAAAACTGGTGAGTTTTTCGAAAAAACGCTTAAACACGTATATTTTATTTTGTTTTTTTACGTATTTTAAGATTTTTTAAAAATGTATACAAGGTGTTTCAAAAAATCTGGTCATTGATTAATCACGATCCTGCTTAAAGCGCTTGACGTAAAAAGCTGATTTTTGGAAAACAGATTGACTTTAGGGTGTAGAAGTTCGATAAGAAGGGAATTTTTCGAAACTCGAATTCTAAGGGGGTGAAACTATCCCTCAAATATTAAAATATTTTTTATTTAAAAACCGGTGAGTTTTTCGGAAAAACTCTTAAACATGTATATTTTTGTTTTACATATTTCTAGAAATTCTTGTTTTACATATTTTAAGATTTTTTATAAATTTATACAGGGTGTTTCATAAAATATGACCATTGAGTAATCACGATTCTGCTTAAACTGCTTGACGTTTAAAGCTGATTTTTGGCACACGGATTGACTGTGGGGTGTAGAGGTTCGATAAGCAGGGGTTTCTCGAATCTCAAATTCCAAGAGGGTGAAAACGCCCCTCAAATATTACAATATTTGTGATTTAAAAAACGGTTAGTCTTTCGGGAAAACGCTTGGACAAGCATAATTTATTCGGTTATTTTACATATTTTGATTTTTTTTAAAAAATCATACAGAGTGTTTCAAAAAGTTGGGTAATTTCTTGACCACGATTCTGCTTAAACTGCTTGACGTAAAGAGCTTATTTTTGGCAAAGGGATTTTTCGAAAGTCAAATTCCAACGAGATGAAACTAACCCTCAAATATTACCAAGTTATATAATAATATGGCCATATTGTTTTTTCTCATGCTGACATAAATGTGAGAAAATTTTATTCAGTTTGTATGTTAATGGAAATTCTTGCTTTGCTTTATCATCATCATTACAAATGATTAATTCGACGCGAACGAAGTCGCTGGTACACGCTAGTAATTTATAAAAGTACTTTTAACATTTACATATGAGTTATCACTGGAATATTTTTTTTAAAAAAAAATATCCGCCACTGATTTTTTTTTCTGGTTAGTACAATTGTGTAGGCCATTTAATGTTGATTAAAAGTTATTGTCACTTGATATTTTATCGATTTCACTTTCTTGGATGAGATAATTCATCAAATACATTGATTCCTCATCGAAAATATGAAAAAGTTCCTATAAACGATGCGGAAATGCATTGTTCGAAAGTTACGGGATGTAAAAGCTTTAAAAAAATAGGTATTTATAACTATCTTAAATACCATTATTTTTCCTTGAATTTGTTTTCAATTAATCCAAATTTATGTCATATACTAACAACCAAATCTCGTTTTTTTATCTGAAAAAATGAAAAAGTTATAGGGTGAGCCACTTTCGAGACACATCCGGTATTGTGATGTTTTTGTACACTAAAATTTCAAACATCAATTCAGTAAGTAATGTGTACCTCTAAAATTTCATTATTGGTCCTAATTTTTCATTAAAAAGCCTAATTAACTAACCCCCATAAACATACCACAGACCTATGCAGTCATTTAAACAGTAATGAAAAGAGCAAATACTTAATAACTCAAAACTCAACCTTAAATTTAAAAGCTGTAGCTAGTCGTAGACTCTAACATTTGATTAAATAAAAATAACGAAGCCAAGTTAATATTTCAGAGACTTTGTTATGTTCTCTTCGGTATCATGCGGTAGAGGAAATGGTGGACAGACTAATTATGGTATGGCCAACTCCATCATGGAAAGAATCTGCGAAAACCGAAAAGCTGAAGGTTTACCAGGTCTAGCTATTCAATGGGGAGCCATTGGTGAGGTAAGTTATGGTAGTAGAAATAAAGGAACATTAAAATTACAAATATACAGAGTGGTCCAAATTGAACTAGGTAAACTTCGGCAGCATATTTTGAATATATAGTCTGTCAAACGAATAACTTTGAATTTGACAGTTCCCGCGGGCTTTTCTAGTGTTAGTTTTATTAGGTTTGCAATTTGCGGCCATGCTGACGCAATGCCCTCTCTAATAGAACAGTTTCGGGGCGAGATTTATGACGTCACGCTAGTTAGATACTATTAATAATACTAATATTCACACCACACACCACATAATGTTTACTGAAATTAATAAACTAAAATAAACTTGTCAAAAGATGACCACATATTTTTTTAATTTATTATTCTTAACACTAAAACTATCTACATTGACGATGAAACTATCTACATTGACGATTCTTAACACTAAAACTATCTACAGTTACGATGAAACGCGCGTCCAGTGTAAAAGTAAAAGTGTTTTAGTTTATGGTGTACGACTTCAGCCATGAATATTTTATATGTAATTTTTTCGATTATATTCGACACTATTTTTTTTCATATGACACAACACTGATGAAGGCTGTAATGTTAGCTGAAACTTTTTTTTTAACCAAATAAAAATAATGATAAACCAAATGAAAACTTAATCAGCGTTTTTCCCGAACCTAAATCCCAAGAAAATCAAAAATTTTAGAATAATTTTACATATAAAATGACAGCGATCTTTATTTCATAGCCATCGCTGACGCATTTTTTTCTATGATATTGTATTATTTGCAAATATAATTTTTCGAACATTGATACTTGCAAAATATACATATAAATTTTGTGAATGCAAATAATAATACATCACTATTAGTAGATATTGAATATTTTTTGTTAAATTAGATCGATTTTAAAACACCAAAATTTAAAATATATTTTACATTTTACCCATTATCTTATGTACCTATTCATTATTTGTATATTGTAAAACATTTGCTGCATTTGTATGGTTCATAGTTTATTTATCAAACTATTTATTACTATAAATTGGTATATATATATTGTATTTATTAACTGTATATTTCATGTAAACTATATAATTTTTAAAATACAAACCAAAAATACGCGGAATAATTATGTTTTCCATGTCTACAACATATTTATTAATCCGTAGTATCTAACTAGCGTGATGTCATAAATCTCACTCCGAGGCTGTTCTATTAGAGGCGGTATTGGTCTGATATTTAGAAATATCAAAAGCTGATGACATTTTACTTTTGACAATTATGACATTTCGTGTTGATTTTTGCAAGAAGAGGAAGAAATGTCACTTGTTTTATTATTTTCCTTTTCTAATTCACGAAAGTAAAAAGAGTTACCTATCTGATTCGTTCAGGCACCCAATTTAAAGAATATCAGTAACTTTTTTGGCAGAGAGATTTTATATTTACCATGTTGTTAAAAATAACGGTCAAAATTCAAAGTTATTCATTTTATAGACTATAACAATGTAAAAATGTTCCTATAAAGTTATGCCTAAAATAGTACTGAGTCTGTGGTTGGTTATTTGTGAAACATACATAACCGACCAACATGGATTTTAACATTTAACACCTTTTTATTACCCCTATTGTAAACTCATTAAACTCACTCACTTTTGATACATCTAAAAGCGTGTTTTATTGAAATACTAATGTCCTGAAATACTTCGAAGATATAGGGTGTAGAAAGTTCATTTTTATTACGATTTTTTTAATAATTTCTGAAATAACGTCAATATTTCTTAGAAAATTGGTGTCCGGATGTTTTTTGATATGAGAAATATAATTTCGATTGTGTGTGACGATGGTGATTCAATGATGATTATATTGTCCAAATTGTATTGTCTAAATGTCTTGAGTACCATTGTTTTTTCAACGATTTTTACGAAAAGACTTTTTTACGTAAAAAACGGCGGAAATATTTTTTTTTCACTCAATAGCGTAATACAAGTACGAAAGAAAAGCTATTACTCTTCCAAATAGTTAAAAAATAAAGAGGTGGCGCCCCCTGCAAATAGGAGCCATATTGATATTAAAGTCAAATTTTTCATGCGAAAAAGCACCCAGACACCAATTTTCATCCAAGTATCGACGTTTGTTTAGAAATTATTTGGAAGGAATCGAAATAAAATTGAAACTTCTACCTCCAAAGGAAGCATTTTAGGACATAAATTTATACAATTTTTTTTGCTTATTTTTATCTGAAGCATGTGCTACCAAAGCTTCCCGAACACAATTTCGACCACCCTGTATATATTTTTTATTTTCACTTAATTCTAAATCATTCAATATTATTTCATAGGTTGGTTTGGTCGCTGACATGCAAGAAGAAGCTATCGAAATTGAAATTGGTGGAACCTTGCAACAAAGAGTTTTCAGTTGTATGGAATCTCTTAACCTATTCTTACGACAAAATGAAGCTCCTGTAGTTTCCAGTATTGTGGTGGCTGAGAAGAGATCAGGAGTTGGTGTGGGAGATAATATTGTTAGCGCAGTTGCTAACATTTTAGGTACGTCATTCTACATCCAATTATAAGATGAATAAAAAGAATAAATATATTTACAGGTATTAAGGATTTGAAAACGATTTCTCTTCAAGCAACGTTAGCTGAAGTAGGAATGGACTCCATGACGGCTGTTGAGATCAAACAAACGTTGGAGAGGGAATTTGAGGTATTTTTGACTCCTCAAGATATTAAATCGATGACTTTCGCTCGTCTACAGGAGATTCAAGATGAACGAGAAAACGAAAGTGCAGGTATATAACATAGTTATACAAAGTTACGCATTATAGGCTTGCTCGCTATTTAAACCCGTCTATTATACAGAGAAGACCAGGCTATTAGTAACATAGCAAGTTGCCGGACGAATTTACGTTTACCCGATTTGCGTTCGTACTAGAGATTCACTGGAGGAGTGCCGAGTATTTATTATTTTCATTTTAAGTGTTTACCTTCACTTAAGGTAACATTTAAAATAAAAATACTTAAATATTTATTATTTGAGTGTGTTTGGTTTGGCCAAAATTAAAAATAAATAAATTCTCTAAACCCGAAAAAAACTAAAATATTACTCTAAATAAAAAAAAGTTATAAGAAGTGTTCAAAAAGGCCACCTTCTTGTGCTAGACAGAAGCCTAGGCGGTCGTAAAATCCCCGTCTGACATTGGCCAACATATTAGGGCTAATAGTTTGGAAAGCCTCTCATATTTTTACTTGAAGCTCATCCAGATTATTAGCCCTATTATGACCATACACTTTGGATTTTACATAACCCTACAAAAAGAAATCATTGGGAGAAAGATCTGGTGATCTAGCGGGCCACAAAATAGTTCCATGTTCACTAATTAAACGGTTGGGAAAAGTATTGTTCAAATATTCTTGAACAATACGGGTATTGTGGGCAGGGCAACCATCCTGTTGAAACCAGGCATTGTGGAATCTTTCTCCCAATCACTCACGAATTCTAGCGACAATCTGCTGCTGTAACAAGTCCAAATACTTTGCAACAGTTAAATTACCCTTTATAAAAAATGGACCAATCATATGCTCCCCTACAAAACCACCCCAAACACTGGCTTTAACTCCTGTTCTTCATTAATCAACATATCAGGCATTTTGTGTTTTTGTGTGGACACCACCATGTCTTTCAAAATTATTAATAACTCTTGATATAGTAGGTAAAGATGGAATTGGCCTGTTTACAAAAGTTTGTGGAAAAATTGTTTGTATATCCTGATAAGACCTTTTTGGAAATGCCATTTACAATTTACAATTTGAATTTTCTCACGAACTTCGTAAACATCCATTATTTTACAGTTCGTCTGCTGGATCTGTGTCTATGAAAGGAATGCTGACAAAAAACATTTAAATAAACAGCAATATATTTTATACGTCAACTTGACGAGTACGTCACCGCAAATCGCTCCGCCCACTCATTTTATTGCCTACTTGCAAATTTGTCGAATTTTTATTGATGGGATGCGTCGTCTAATTGTTTACGAAAAACATCGAGAGAATATCGTTTCCCCTCTCACGGATACCCCGTAGCCACGTACTGTACTGTACTTTACTACTGTACTGTACCAAGACGTACCGTACTTAAAAATTAAATTTTACACGAGAGCTGTAGCGAGAATCTGTGTATTCGTTTTGGCTATAAAAACACGAATAAATACAAATTCTGTAACATTCTTATCACATATTTTACCTATTTTTATTTTATCGCATTTTTTCGCGTGCTTTTTATCCGGCGGACGGGTATACGCTAATTCGTCCGGTTCTGCCTATGTTACTACTACGGTGGTCCGGTCTGTATACAAATAGACGGGTTTAAATAGTATTGGCCAGTTGCTTACGATATTTTCCGATGGTGGCAGCACCGGCGGAGAATGCACCAAGCCTACAACACCCTATATCAGCCATCCTTTTTGAGATTATAATTTTATTTCTTAATAATTATTCAAATTTGACTTTTGCTTTACAGTTATATTTTTTTAGCGGAATGTTATTATTTTTATTACTTAACGAGGTTCTAATAAAGTTTCTATTCTAATGTCCTTCAGTGTAGTATGACCATTTTTTAAATTAAATTTCCTTAACCTTACCTTTATTCGATAGAAAATGCCACTCTGAATAGAATGACATATCATATGCCAACTTTTGACATTTTCGTATATGGTTCATAACATATGGTTTTCGAACATGCAATTCATTACGACAATTTGACTCGAAATACCAAGTGTATGGTACCAAATTATTCGTAAAAAACTGCGTTCTCCAGATATGTTAATGAACCACCCTCGTTCAATTTGAAAAACTTGAGATATGATTAAAAATACGACTTGGTCACCTGTTAACCAGCCAGGACAAGACACTAAAAATATTAAACGATCAAATATATTTTTCCAATGCTCCTTGATTAAAAATTAGTATTTTTAACACAAGCATGGCAGTCTAGATTGAAATTTAAAATATAATTTTGTTTTAAGCGAAAATGTCAAAAGTTGATATATGATATGTCAATATATTCAGAGTGTCATTTTTTTTAAGCGAAAATGTCAAAAATTGATATATGATATGTCAATATATTCAGAGTGTCATTTTCTATAGCATAAATTAGAAAAATATCGAGGGTGCTATTTAAAAATCAAAAGTTGTAGTCATTTCCGTTGAAACAGGAAGTGACCGAAAAGAATTGAACAGGTCTATAAATCCTAATTTATGTCATATACTAACATACCAAATCTCGTTTTTATCTGATAAAATAAAAAAGTTATAGGGGTGGGCCACTTTTGAAACCCACCCGGTGTATATTTTGATGTTATCGATTATATAATGTTTTGAAATGATGCTTTATGCATCAATATATCGCGAATTTATGCAAATATTTTGTTTAAAAGCAATTTTTTCTAATTTCATACCTCATAAAATAAAAATCAATTAAAAATAATTTCGAACAGAAAACTTAATGGTGAGCTTTTTTGGGTTGTTAAGACACTGTACATATTTTGGTAGTATTTTGGTCATAGCAAATGTCTAATAATTTACCATTTTTAGGAGGTAAGAAGGAACGAGCATTGAACGGCTTCGAAATGATCATTGGACATCTTTCTGCTGAAGATCCTCCTGAAATACCAGTACTCTCATTACAGGGTGATCCGACCGAGGTACCATCTTCAAACCCAATAATTCTATTCCCTGGAATAGAGGGATTGGTGGATGTATTAAAACCACTTTACCCCAGTTTAAAGGGAGATCTAGTTGGCTTGCAGTTTTGCAACTCGTCTCAAAGAGACACCATTGATGGCATGGCTGATGTTTGTCTTGAGGTAAGAACTCGGAAACAAATCTTCTAACGTTAAAGCAATTTGGAAGACAGTTGAAGAAAACTAAAAAATGTCGATACCTATGTGGCGGATTCATCTCTCCAAAAAATCTTATATGGGTATTTCGCCACTGCAAGAAAATCTACAAAATAAAATAGTTATTTTTTGTAAACACTGCTGGCGTTCGTCCACAGGGAAAGTATTTGTCAGCAGTTGCTTAACGTTTCGGAAAGTTTTGTATCTTTCCGTCGTAGGAAACAAAAAAATACAAAGACTAAAGAAAAAACCATTTAAAATATTTAAATTCAACTATTCGAGAACACTTTAGTTTTTTAAAACAGATACATCTACAAAAACCGTTGACGTTCTGTTAAAATGACATTATATCAAGTTAAACCTAGTCAAACCAAAAAACCCCAAACCTTCTGTATGATTATTTTTAATTTTTACGTATAATGTTATGTTCTTTAAAAGCAAAGAAGCGATTGCCATACATTACTAACATCTACAGATGCATGAGCAATACATTTATTTTTATTAGATTGTATTAAAAAAGCCTCTTTTATTTCTCTTTTAGAGGCTATCGCTTCTTTCATTATATTTTTGGCGTTATTAAAATTTATTCTGTGCCCTGTGTCCCATGAATACCGACAAATCTTAGATTTGTGAAAATCTACCTTTCTTAAATAACCTTTATGTTCTTTAATTCGAACATTTAAGGGTCTAGATGTTTCACCAATGTAAAATTTATCGCATATCGCATTCACGTGGTATTTTGTATATTACATTTTTTGTTTGTCGTTCTGTATTCATTGGTTTAGTATGTGATAAAATGGATCTAAGTATATTTCGTGTTTTGAAAGATGTTCGCATGTTATATTGTTTTCCTATCCTTTATTGTATTGCTTATGCATCTGTAGATGTTAGTAATGAATAACAATCGCTTCTTTGATTTTAAAGAACTGTAAAGCTTTTTTTTATTCACTATTCTAATAAACAATATGCATTCCTTCGGAAACTCTCTTTTTATTTATCTAGTAATGCTAAAACACTCTATTTGAAAGTCGATTAGAGAAAATAGTATGATTCATTGGCAAGCGATATAAATATTTACGATCAGGTAAAATTGTGATGTAAGGGAGAGCGCCCACTAAAGTGACGTAGCATACGACGTGGCACATACATGGGAATGATATGGCAACAGCGTTGCATGATTTTTCAGGAAGCGCACATATAAGTGATGTGGCATCTAAAACATGTAGCCCTCAGAGGATGAAGATTTGTTAGCAGTTGTAAACCTAATTAATATGAACCAAAATTATCCAAAGCATCGCTATTGGATACACACCTTTTGCAAAAAGAGACAAAGGAATAGTGGATTTAGTATTTTTAAAGAATTGAATATCTATCCTGAAAGATTTCAAGCATTTTATAGAATGAAAAAAGAAACCTTTGATGTGCTAGTTTGATGTAGAAAGTCCTGTTTATTCCTGTTGAAATAATCGGCACGAGTCTGGTTATAAATGCATAGTTTAGTCTCAATCAGTGATACAAAACGTATATTGAAGTCCGGATCGTCCTTCATTTTTGCCAAATTCGAGTAACGTGTTAATAGCACGTGGCGAAAAGTAGAACCAGTTCTAGTTTTGAAGCAGTGGCATGGCATGCTACAACGAAAGATGATACGTTTCTGGCAGCGCTACTTCAATGTGCGCTGACACACTTATTGTCGTTTGTTCAATTCGACGTAACTTTTGCTAGATGCATGTTACTTGTCAGATTACGTGCCACGTCAGATGCTACATCATTTTGGTGGGCGCTATCACTAAGAGGACAGGCTTAGCTTGTCGGCGGCAGGTCAGTAGTAGACGGATCGGCCGGCTGTTGTGTTGTTTTTTGTCACAGAGCTGATATTTGGGGGTTATGAGTCTTTTGACTATAAACGTTGCATGTACAGTAAGGCAAAGGGTCGTTTGACCAGAAGAAAGCTTCTAGTGACGTCTTGCCTTCGAGGTTGGTCTTGAGAGTTTGAGGTCTCCCTTGTCTTCTCGATTGACACGATGCGGCGTTGGGGTAGTGAGGTACCCCAATTAGCCTATTCGATTAGGATGCAAATCTGTTTAGCGGCAGAGTTGCGTCCGGGGGAAGCCCCTGTACTGTTTCAGCTGACACTAGCTAGAAGATATGGAATGTGATATATTGAATAGAATGTCAGTGATGTCAGTGGCTAGGGGGCGGAGTACCCCCGGGTGAGTCTTACTATTTAATTATCAATTTTATCCAGATCAGTAAATGTTTGTTTTGTTATTTTCATATACAATGAGAGAGTACTTGCCAATGACCAACTAAATGGATATTTGAGGTGAATTTGCATTGTGAGACCCGGTTGAGTAAGCCCCAAAAAATAACGATTTTACAAATGTATGCATTATATATTGTATAATTGCAAAAAAATTGTCAAATTAATTTATAAAGACCCTTCACCATAATTTCGAAAATATTTAAAAAAAAATTTATTGGATTATATCATATTTATTGTTATATTCTTAACATACGTAAAAATTAAAAATAATCATACAGAAAGTTTGGGTTTTTTTGGTTTTACCTTATTAAGTAATTGTTATCAGGTAGTAATTGTTAATTTTGACGTTTAACTTGATATAATGTCATTTTAACAGAACGTCGACTGTTTTTGTAGACGTATCTGTTTTAAAAAACTAAAGTGTTCTCGAATAGTTGAATTTAAATATTTTAAATAGTTTTTTTCTTTATTCTTTATATTTTTTTTACTTCCGACGACGGAAAGAGATAATCTTTCCGAAACGTTAAGCTTTTTTTGTTCGTTAGGCAAATTTGTATATCTGTAAACCTAACTTCTGACAAGTAGTTTCCGTTTAGATTAACGCAGCAGTGTTTACAAAAAATAACTATTTTATTTGTAAATTTTCTTCGGCAAAATACCCTTATAGGATTTTTTGGAGAGTTGAAGAAAACTGTTGTAACAAACTTTCATTGTTTTTATTTTTATTCTGATTTACATCATTTCAACGTTTCACTTATTTATAATATTACAGAAATTAACACAGAGCAGTATTCTTTCTCGAAAAAAAAACTGTTTACCATCTCCAAAGAAATATTAATATACGGTAATCGCAAAACATTTTCCGATGCACGTCATCAAGCATATTGCTTGATGACGTGCATTGATATGAATCTCACATGTCTGTACTTATAGAAAATAAATTTGCTATTCTGTTAAAATATTTATCATTACTAGCAGACACTTAAATCCTGTACAGACTCATAACTATAAATATTTCTGTAGTCGATAGAAGAAAGGCTGTCACCATCAGAACCATTTAAGATCATCTGCTACTCGTTCGGAGGATCAGTGGCATTGCAAGTGGCCAAAAAACTGGAAGAAAGAGGTTACAGAGGTACCGTAGTATGCATAGATTCATCGCCAGATTATCTGACGGCTCTATCCAACCTTTTGGAAGTCGGATCCGATGACAAGATTCAAGTGAGCTTGTTGGTGCACCTGATGACTTTACGAATTCCTTTTGAAGTCATATCTCCACATTTAGTAAGTAATACATAGTAATTTACGTAGAATTAGATTCATTTTAAGGAGTTCTTTAAAAAGTTTGAAATATTTTTTCTGTAAAATAAATTGGGAAAAAGTTATTCATGATTTTATAAAAATTTTATGGGATTTCTTATTAGGCTAGTAAGCGAGGATAAAAATAAGGTATCACCACCGAATTCTTGACACCCGCAGCGATTGACGTGAAAGTTTAATAGTGAATATAGATATATGCAAGAAACAAAAGTTACATAGTAGGGATGTGTGATATCACCCTGGGGTGAGTGTTACCTCTTCTAGGGAGTGAAAAATAAATTACCAATTTTAATTACAAAAATCAATAAAGGGATGAATTCTTGAAAATGTTGATTTTTCATCTAAAATCTGCATATTTTTCTGCCATTTTTTATAAATAACAAAAAAAAATGATCATATTATATAATGAATCACATTAAGCAAAAATGAAGCTTTTGGATAACTAAACGATTCATTTTTTGTTCATTACGGTAGGTGTAATAATAGCTGAGTTATCATGCTGTAAAGGTGAAATTTTATTTTTCGAAAACAAAAAATTTCAACCTTTTGCCGTAAAATAATGGCGAAAGAACATATTTTTCGAAGAAAATGAATATGACCGTTTTTAAAGTACTTAAAACACCTTTTAAATGTTTTTTTAAAAGGTCTTTTCAAGTTCGTAGCTTAAAAGCTCGCGGAGTTATGATAAAAATAAGGCTGTACTTAAACTGCCGTTAAACGGTAGCTTACTAAAATGCCGTTAATAGGTATGATGTCGTTGATGAGACGCACTTGACGGTTTTATGAAATATATGAATTTTATAAGGACTAACCAACGCTATCCAGCCCACCAAATAACCAACTTAACCAACGCAACTAACCTTGACACTTGTAAAAAAATATAAAAAACAAATATAAATTAGTAAAAACCAACCAACCCCACCAAATAACCAACTAACGGGGCCAACAGTCACGGGGCCACAGGTGTTCTTGCAAAATGCCTATCGCTAGGCATTACTTTCCGCCGACATCAACGACGTCATAATATCTATTAACGGCATTTTAGTAAGCTACCGTTTAACGGCTGTTTAAGTACATCGTAAAAATAAAATGGTCACCTCATTTTTTCGGAAAAAGATTAACAACAAAACCCATGACTAAAATCATAAAAATAAAAACTATCAATTTGTAGGAAATTACACGAGCTACAAATTAACATCTGTAATTGACAACAGTCTTGAACTCTTTTTACGAGATTTTTAGGTTTTAAGGGCTCAAGGGTGGTCTTCCAACGCAAGTCAAACTAAAACCATAGTATAAGGAAACTAGTAGTTTTACTCCTTGTCAAATCCTTTGTTCTTTTTCTGCCACTTTATATGACCTTGTTCTCGCGTCCCGTGACCACTGGCGTAGCTGTATAGTCGTGGTCTATAACTAAGCAAGGTATAGTTGTGGCACTCGCTATAGTTTCACAGAGATGTATTTAGGAAAATATGAGTTCACAATAAAATAAAATAAAAAAAATGATCATCGAGTAAAAATTTGCTTGAAAACAGAATATGTTCACATTTCCTTTAAGTAACAATTTTTCTGTATCTGAAAATCTTCCGATTGGGAAAAAATGCGGAAAAAAATATAATGACATGTTTTTATATTATTATCTATTTTAAAGATTTTCTACAACTTTTTTTTAATTCAAAACAAGTTTAATTTTAACATTAATGTGCTTGTTTTGTTTGGTTTGGTTGACAAGATTTTCATTGGATAACTAATACATTGAACAACACATTGTACTAAATAATAAAATAACATGTTTAAACTTCAATAATTGCTAATAAACATTACAGAAATTTCAAAAGAGAAAAGAAGCAAGAACAATGAGAAATAGCATCACAACTTTCTCACGTAATAAAAGAATAATTTTTTAGTTTTTAGCACCAAAAGAACCGGGTATTAATGATTTCGAGTCCCTGCTCTTTGATATCTCAAAAGAACCCGGAATTTCCGGTTTTGAACCCTAGGTACCATATTATCAAGAAATTATGTTTTTTTAAACCGAAGTAACCGGAGCTGTTTTTCGGAACCGGTAATTTCTGTACAAACGCCTCAAAGGAACCGGGATTTCCTGCTTTTTCTCGGTACTAGTAAATTTTGGTCAATGATGGTGCAGTTCGTTAAACAGCAAGCAAAGGATGGTTGTCACCATTTTTTGTCAATCCGTCTCTGTGCTGGGACGCAACGCTCGAACCTCACAGGTCGACGGACGGAACTCAACTGAAACGCTCTGCAATCTGCCGATATTCGACAGATTGTAAAAACTAGCAGAAAATATTTGGGAGAGTGCAACTACTCTTATCCTTCTATTATGCTAAAACAACGTAATATCTACGAAATGTGGAGATCTACAGAAAATTGAAAGAGAGCAACGTTGTTAGATATAGATTAGTTTTTGAGATCTGTAAAAAAATTAAAATTAAAAAAAAATCATTATTTTCAATTTTTTTTCAAATGAATTGTTTAGTTATCCCAAAAGCTTCATTTTTGTTTTATATGAGTTTTGCGATAAAACGCTAGGTTTTCGAGTTATTTATAAAATATGGCAGAAAAATATGCAGTTTTTACATGAAAAATTAAATCAACATTTTCAATCCTAAATAACTAGGAAAATAATAATTTTCTGAAAAAATGTTATAGAACATTTTTTGCTTAGAATTCATCCCTTTATTGATTTTTCCAATTAAAATTTGTGATTTATATTTCACCGCAGAGAAAGGGTGGCACTCACCCCCAGGGTGAAAGCACACATCGCTACTATATAACTTTTGTTTCTTGCATATATCTGTAATCCCTATTAAAATTTCACATCAATCGGTGCAGGTGTTCAGAATTCGGACCCTAAAACCCTCGCTTACTGGCCTAATTCCGAAGCTATTTAACTTATGATATTTTTTTTTAATTTAGGAAACGATGCTCAAACTTCCCGACTTTGAAGCCCGAATGGCCCTAGCCGAAAAAATAGGAAGCGACCAAAAAGAAGTATCAGTAGAGAACCTAAAAGTCTTTACAGTCAGTATATACAAACGTTTAAAAGCGTTGTTGACATGGCAGCCCAATATCCAACTAAAATCGAAATTAGTCCTCCTTAAACCGACGCTGACTAGTGTCGTTTTGAAGGATGCGGATTATGGTTTGAGCAAACTGACGGAAACTCCCGTTGAAGTGAGAGAATTCGAGGGGAACCACGTGTCGATTTTGGAAAATCCGGGTTTGGCGAAAGCGATAAACGAAATATTTTGGGGCGAAGAAGTCGATGATTCAGAAGAGAGTAAAGAAGAAGAAGTAACCAAGGAAGAGTAATAATAACTTGTTATAGCTTATAATATATTTGTGGTATTTTTCAAATATTTTAGAATAATAATTTGTACTATATTAAATAAAGAAATTGATAAAATACAAATCAAGCTCTTACTAAAAAAATACCATACATAATTTTTTGTAACCCTAGCTACCTAAATTTTAATTTACCCTGTATAGCCTGATATTTAACAATACCTATTCTATGTTAAATCAAATTAAAATTTGAGCCTAAAAGTTATACCAGGTGAAAGAAAATTAATATGGAATATTGGTAATTTTTAAAAGTAATTTACTCCTTTATTTTAAATGGAATCCCCAGTATATTATTTCGGTGTTTAATAGGGAATTCATACATATAATATCTTCCAAATATTATTAAGGTTGCCTACACCACAAACAAAGGTTTTCCTAGATATTTTAATTTTTATGATTCTGCCGACCTATTATTATAAAAAATCTAGGTGGCTGCAATATTCCTTTTGTTAATTTAACAAAAATTAAAGAATGTAGAGTAAAATACTCAACGGTAATAAAAAGAACACGTTTAAAACATATCTTAATTATTACAGAATTAAAACTACCTAGATATAAGCCTATAACTGTGTGACAAAAATTAACTAGATGAAATAAAATGTTCAAAAAGCTTCCTTTCCTGTTAACTGCATAAAGTGATTCTCTCTTTTCAAAAGATCTTTTCATTTTAAAAAGCATATGTGAAGTTCTACTTCGAAAAGCAGCTACTATTACTTTACTCATCTTCTTAGCACTATCTTTAAAATATCCTCAAAAAAAAATACCAGACTAGATAAAATCAGGAGCATTTAACTATTCTATTAATTTGGTAAATGCACACAGTATAGAATCATGTCAATTCTCCCTGACGTAGGATAAGTTTGCATTTTCGACAAATTTCTAATATTTTTTTTTGTTTTAACTGACACAAAATGGGTTACTAGTTGTTATAGTTGAACTAATTAGACAGCTAAGCTGAAGTTACAAAATGTCAGATATATCACAACCACCGATATTTTACTATAGATCTCCTGATACTAAATCATAAAAATGAAAATATCTAAGAAAATCTATGTTTCAGGGGTAGGTAACCTTAATAGTATTTTGAAGAGACATGAATTCCCCATTGAATATTGGAATAATATACCTGGTGTTCCATTTAAAATAAAATAGTAACTTGGTTTTAGAGGTGACAAATGTGCAATATTAATTTTGTCTCATCCTGTATAACTTTTTGTGTCAAGTTTTAATTTGATTTAAACTACAATAATTATTTTAACTACATATTGCATGATATCGGGTATATTACAATTTAGGTAGCTTTTATTGTAATTTAAAAACTGTTCTTCATTTAGAAAATGTTAAATATGTCAAAGACCTTACAAGTTAGTCATATACTTCTCTAATAAAACTAGCCTTTATTTTTCCCCCAGAATCCTAAAATAAATTAATATATTACAAAAAACACAACTTTGATATGTAACTGTTTTTGCGGTCACCCTGTACAATTCTCTATATTTTTAGAAAGTGCCCCGAATTAACCTACATATGCTCACAAAATTTCATCTCAATACAAACTGTCGTTCTCCTTGGAGCCTCCACGTCGTATAAGAGGCGCTACCCTGTATATACAGGGTGTTAAGTTAGGTTGGGTTATTTCAATTTTATTAATTGTGATTAATAAAATTGCCTTTATCTCATCAAGGAGGCATTAAACAACCTACACAAATTTGATATCTTTGAATAAGAAGACTAAGGAAGGAGCATAATGCTATCCATGTATTCATGCATGGTGGGCGGAAAAGCCACCATAAAAGCTCTCTAGGGTGGGGATCCTTGACAGTTCTGTTTGACGATTCATTTGACACATTTGAATTTGATTTGAAATTTTTTGGATTTGTCAGTCTTTACGGAGCTTATTTTATGTTATTTATTATTTATTCTACTACTGATAGTTGTTGTGAAATAATGGAACAACTTTTCGCTAGTAAGTGACTATATAATATACATACATGTAGTAAACCGATCATTTATGAAATTCACTTAAATAAACTAAATTATATATTTTTCTTGCATTTTAGCTTTTATTTATTTATTACTTGTCAAAGATTAGATGTCAAAGAATTTAGATACGTTAATTTGACTTACCTGCTTCAGTAGCGTATCGGATGTTTGTGTTAATAAATACTTATTCTAACTTATCTATTTTAATTAGAATTATATATTTTTATAACAATTTTAATAACTACCAACATTTATTCACAACGTAAAATAAAACAACAAATTATTGAGTCTACCCCACGTCTACCCTACATCATAGTTTTACATTTTTTAAATAAAATTAGAACGACACTGATAAACCGGAATTTAAGTCGGCCATATTTGAGGCCCATCGCGGTGTACCTAAGATTTTTGATATGCTCCTTCCTTAGTCTTCTTATTCAAAGTTTGATATCAAAAGAAAAAAGCCAGTGGCGCACCTGCTTTTTTTTAAATATTTCAGTGATAACCCATATATGCACTTTTTTAGCAATAAAATATGTAGCACTTATAGTAACTTTTACCTTCAAAATTTCATTCTAATCACTAAAAGTACTTGGAAGAAAATTATAATAAATCGAGAGATTATTAAGACTTTAACACCCTTTAGCTACGAAACAAAGCAGAATCGGACCTACTCGTATTTATGAAGAATAAGTCTTATTTTTATGTGAGGAATCTCTTCACGAGAGATGGCATATGTTTTTTGAAACACCTTGTATAATTTTGCAAAACTGTTTAGGGATATTTAATGTTTATTACCAAACTACTATTTTTACTATTAGCTTAGTGTGTTTACAAGTGAATTTAAACCATAAAAAAAGTTTTTGTAGTAAAATTTCATTCTTTTTTTTCAACTTCAGTAAGCTCAATGCTCGGACGAATTCTATAATTAATAAATCCGCAGGTTAAACTTCCAGTGTATACTTTAGTCTTTAATCCGTCATACCTGACAGGTAAAAACATAATCTGTAGACGTGTCTTTAGTGTGGTTTTGGTTAATTTTTTTTATCAACTACAACTAATTTATAAAAAAATGATAACAAGACTTAATTACACAAATATGTTTACAAACAAATAAACAATGAGAAGCTAGTTTTAGTTTACTCTTTAGTATTCTAAATCACAATATTTAATTATTTATACTTATTATACAGGGTTGTTCACCACATACGACACGGGGTATTGTAGCTAAACGATTAGATTTTTACAAATTTTAAGTTTTGGGTTCGTTGAAGGACTATTAGAGCTACAATTTAGAAATAATTTTACAAGATACAGAGTGTCCCAAATAAGTAAAAAATGCTATAGTTTTATTTTCTGGCCAGTGGCGTATCGTTTTTGGAACGAATTTAATTAGTAAAGTAAAAAGTAAAGCAATAAGTAAAAAAAATGCTATAGTTTATTTTTTTAAATGGAACACCCTGTATATTAGTTCTATTTTAGATTCTAATACTGAAATAAAGGTAATTTTTATTCAGGTTTATCACACCCTAAATCTTACCGTTTTTGAAATAGTTTTCAATTTTGTGAAATTGCAGTAAAAATTTAAGGCTTCATTTCTCCAAGGGTATCAAAGTTTTTTAATACTAAATACTTTACTGAAGTTATTTATTGATCAGTTACAGTGTTGCAATAATAAAAATTATACTACCTTATAGAGTGTCTAAAAATTTTATTTTAAATAATTACTAGCTTTAAAGGGCAATAGACTTGTTTAATTTAAAATGGAACTGCCCTGCATATTTTCAGGAGAATCAAGATGTATAATTTAATTGTCTATCAAATTGTATGATGCCACTTTTTACCTATCCCTTCAAGTTTTTCATAGAAAATGCATTTTCTTTTAATTTTGACTTAAAAAGTCATTTTTTATTTACGTATTTTCCCCTGAGAGAACAAGAGAACTTAGAACTTCCTGTTTAATCTCTGAGAAAAATTACCTACAGCAAAACAGAAATATTCGCTTCGTCCAAATTTAATTAGATGTGTTATAAAACTTATAAATAAATTTTTCTTTTGTTTAGAATAGGAAACATTATTTAGAATTTCCTGTTTAATTTCAAATGATAGTTTAGGTTTTAGTTGTACCTTTTGATATTAAAAAACTTTTCAAAATTAGTAATTAGTAACGATTTAGTTAGACCGCAATCATTTTAGATTGTTTTTAAAGTAACAAATGTAATAAATGTACAGGCTAGTAATATTATCGTTTTTACCAAAATGATAATATTACTAACCCATTTGTATGCAAAAGAAAACTATTTAAATCTTCATAAAGAGTATACCATTAATTAAATATACCACCATTATTTCCAATCCAAATAGTAATTAATTACATACTTAATTATGTTTGAATAAATTATTCTAAATAAATGTGGATTTGAATCAGAAATCAATATAATAATAAGTTATAAAAATGAATGTCTCTGTTGTTACAAATAACATTTGTCAAAAAATGAAATATCATTTTAAATGTGTTACTTTTACCACACTGTAATACACATAAAAATTCAGTTTTTTAGTTTTTGAAAAACGTATTATTAATTAATTTTGCAAACAGCAAATTAATGTAGTTTGAATACTGAATCATATTAATTGGTCCTCTTTAACAAATATTTAAACAGTTTTTTTTATTTTATAATAAAATAAACAAACTATATGGAAGAGGTATTTGTATTGTACGGTGGTAAAAACTTGTCTAAACAAGACCGAAGGGGCAGATATAAGATATAATTAAGCAAGTAAATGTAAAAAAGGTCTGGTAACCAACTTGGTTTATTTGTTGAGCAAAATTCCTTTAAAAATAATCTAAAATGTCCAGTATTCCATGGGTATATTGATAAATGAATATAAAATTACAAGAAAATGCATTTTCAAACTTGAAGCTATAGGTAAAAAATGGTATAATACAATTTTATACACAATTAAATTATGCATCTGATTCTCATAAAATGTACAGGGTGTTCCATTTAAATTAAACAAGTTATTGCTGTTTATAAGCTAGTAATTATTTAAAATAAAATTTTAGACACTCTGTATAAGGTA